TCCATTATATTTCTGTGCTAAAGAATTCTGCAGATCTTAGAGTCAGCTGGCTATTTCAGATCTAGTTCCAGTGGAAACTACTTAAAATATCAGGTTAGGTTATCCCTCAGTAATGCAGTAGAGGCATCCTCTGATATTCAGGAAATGCTTAGAAGAAATTTAAACAAAAACTGAACAAACCCCAGAATTCAGAGAACTTGAGACAGAAGTTCACTATTAAAATTTTAAGTCCCTTTTCATTTAGATAGCTGACATAAGATTCACATCTGTCACTAATCTATAGCATGACTGTTGCACTGAAAATTTGAAAGATTATTTTTTATAACAATGTATAAGCAGATTGCAAATATATTTTAATAATATAATCATATTGTCATAACTGAGGACAAATGAAGTGTAGTGCATTATTTACTAAATGGCACTGCCTTCACTCTGAATTAAAATTATTTTCTTCAGTAATATAAATGTTCCTGCAGGCAGAGTAGTTGAATAAAAGCAAGCCTGTTAGGAATAATTGTACATAAATGCACTATTTTTAAACAAAAATTGTAACATATAGTTACTCAATGAAACAAGAGAAAAAAACATCTGAATGGCAAAACATCAGGAGGTAACCACTAATGTATGTGAATTCACAAAAATGTGAATGTTTGGGTGCACCTTATTCCAAAATAGGTTACTTTTTTAATTCTTTGGTAAATCAGTTAGTAGCTGATGTGAAGTACAAAAATTATAACAGTAATATAATTATTAAAATGTGCTATATGCAATAATGGAAAATATAAAAAAACCTGTTAGAAGCATTCAGAAAGCATTCTTTATAAACATATCTTAGAAGACCTAAATGCCATGTCTGCTTCAATTTAATACTGGTCCAAAATTAATAATGATCAGATGATAAATGTGTGTTTGTGACATAGAGATTATCAGGGTCAATGGATGCAAATGTGTTTAAGGATAAATTTGAGAGAGAAATGTATCTGGAAAGCTTTTACGGGGGGAATATTACTACTCAATATTTATTAACAAACTCATATGCTTGCAAAGTTTCTCTATTAAAATCAAAACTATGATTTGAATGAATGAAAATGTTATCAAGAATACCCTTTTGTTTTGTTAGCTTCTGAGTTGTGTCATTGTTTAAATTTAGCTGCTGATTGAGGAAGCAGAAATTGCAATAAAAATATTTGAAGGAAAGAAGTTCCTGTTGTGAATCTTTGAGGCTGTATAAAGAATGATGCAAAACAATCTTGAATCAGGTAGAATAATAAGCCCAGTCTGAGAGATTAATTGGAGCTTGAAGTATAGGAAGGGGAGGCCAACATATAAACTGTCAGGATCATTTAGTTAACAGTTAGAATGATTTGATGTGAAATAGTAGCAGCTGGCTGTGAATATATGAAGTGCAAATGGACAGCAGGTGGCAATTCTAAGTTTTGTTTCATGAATCTTTGCAGAATTATGTATGTTTGTATAGCTAAATCAAGGATAAACAAAAACTTCATTGCTACAGGGAACCAACAAGATTCTGCAATATTTGCACAAGCAGCTATGTACTAGGGTCATTTAAGTAGGCAATATACAAACAAGTGAATAAAAATAACATTTCTCTGACCTTTAATCAGCAATGATAATAAAGTTGGATATTGAATTGAACAGTGATTGTGTGTATTATAACCAGATTATGGGGATAGATGCTTTTTTCACTTGGTGCTTTGGTGGATGGATGGAACTATGAAGTTCATTTCCTGATGCCAATGCTCAATCACAAAATAGAAAAAAATGGAATCATAAATATTTTCTACAAACTCACTTCCCACAAACTCACTAGGCAGTATAGTGATCTATACTTAATCTTTAGGCCAAGAATAAGAAATAGAACCCTGTATCAAATAAAAAAGCATGATGAAGATATAGGTGAGCATCAAGACTCAAGTAAGCAAAGCAAAATTATTGGTTCCAGCCACAGAATGTAAGAAGAAATATTACCAAAGTTGTCTCCAGTAATTATTTGGTTTCTGAAGCAGCCTTGCAAGGCCTCTTCCAGACTCATTAATGTCTCTACATCTTGAGCTACAGTGCACAAATTACTTCCAGAAAGCTTGGCCATAGATCTTGTATTGCTACAAGATTAAACTCTTTGATCCTCAGTATGGAGATAATAGCTTTCTCTAGAGCTTAAAGGGTATGGAATTGGATCAGGATCAGACACTAGAACTGTAGCATCTTATAGACATGCATCTTCTCCAACCATCAATCTCCAGGCTGGATTTCAGGCAAAAATTGGCTTCACTTTCAGTGCTCTCCATGGCAGCTCACAGCATAAGCTAGGGAATAAAAAAAAATTACTCCCGAACCTGAATGTTTTGCCCTCACTAGTAATGTAAACAACCTTTCCTATCCGTGAAAGTCCAATGATTAGTCTTCACTGCCAAGAGTTTCATTCTGCAGCTGCAATTGTTCACAATAATATAGGAAAGCGGCAACAGAACTGACAGTCTTCTGTATTAGCTTCAGTTGCTCAATAGACCAGGAAGGGGTGGAGCAGAGGAAGGACAAGCAAAGTAGCTGTATTACAAAAGAAAAATAGAAAGAAAATGTACATCTTTAAGTCTTCTCATGTGGATTTCTCAACTATCAGGAAATGTAAAGGAGAAACAATTGTTGATTTAACATTTAAAATGAAGCATTCAATACTCTTTAGTTGTTTATCAGCATGATATTCAAGTCTATTTATTATGTTACTTAAATAGAGATGGTGTTTATAAGTTATTTTCCCATGCAGTTGAAATCTAGCAGTTCAGCATATATACGTTAGATCAGTTGTGAGAGTCTTTTTTGACTGAAAGAGTGAGTTATAGATTGGCCATGTAGTCCATTATTCTGTTTCCAATAAAAATTAACTAGAGATTCCTGGCAATTCATAAACATGAAAGTGAAGTTTACTATCTGCTTGATAAAGTTGGGATATTCAGAAAACACATGAATAGAATGATAGGACTGAAGAATGTAACTTATTCTAGCATGTAGCATGTAACATTTCGTATTTACTTAGTATGATCTTTAATATTAGTCTAGGGCATGTGTTTCTCACATAATGAGTTTGCAATTTACTAAACTTCAAGTCAGTGTCCTTGGCAGGTTTGGCCAGTTGTTATCAGATTCTACATTCCTCATGGAGAACTTGCTTTGTTACTTAAAAGACATCTTAATCTACTAGAAATATTAATCAAAGAACCGCCTAGTTACTGAAAACTTTAATCAAAGATGTTCCCCTCTGTTCATGTCATGGGTGGAGGGATAAAGTGCCCAATTTAACTGAGTGCAAGGATAGAATGGCCTCTGCAATGCATTTCATAAAACTATGAGATTCTTAGAGAAAAGACCAAAAGATGGCTAAAAGATGAATGCAGAGCTGGATAAGTAAATGTGAGTAAAAATCAGTGGTAAGCAAATGCAATCCTAGGCTGCTTTAATAGAAATATTATACTGACATAAAGAAACTGTCATAGTTCCTTTCTATTTTACATTAATAAAATTGTACTTAAATACTGAATTAAGCTGTGAACACTGCATTTTAGGACAAACACTAAAAAATTGGAATGTGTTCAGCAGGGACCAATCAAAATGATAAAAGACTTGGAAGAAAAAATCTGTGAGAGATATTCAGACATATTCGGTATGTCTAGTCTGGAAAAGAGAAGGTTGTAGGAAGACCTGATTGTTGGTATCAAGGATCTGAAGGACTTCCATGTAGAACATAAAGCAGAGCTTTTCATAATTGTTCTAGAACACAGAAAAATAAGAATGGGTTTATTTTTTAAGGAAACAGATTTTATTTGGATATTAGAAAATAAAAATCCTAATACTAAATGCTGTTCAATGTTGCTATAGTCTGCTTCAGAAAGTGGTTAATTTTCCTTTGCTAGTTGTATTTCAACAGAGGCAGGATTGCCATCTGTCAGAGATTCTGTAATAGTGGAGTCCTGCATTTGGCAAATATTTGAAATAGTTCTACAAAATTTGTTGTGTTCTATGATTCTACAAGGTTCTGCTTAAATTTCTATTCCATAATATACAGATAGATAGAAGGCATAGTGGAAGCCATCCAAACTGAAAACAAATTCCTAATCATTTGAAAGTACCACAATGTATTTGGAAGGACTAATAATTTTTAAAACTCCTATAACTATTTATCTCTGTGTTAAGTCCGTACATTTTCTAGGAATTATTTGCACACTAATATGTATGGGATTTGTCTATAAATGTACTGTATGTACATTTGTTTGTTTTTCTCCTGAATAGTTAGATGGATGGTTATTTTAAAAAAGTATACCCAACAAATAAGTGTGAAATTTATCCCTTTTTAAAATCTATTTATTCTTCCCCACTATCTTCAAAAACAGTACTGGAAAGTTGGAAGAAATCAGATGTACATATCTTCTCTTGCATCTGATAATCTTCTCTTAGTTTGTAAGGATATTAAAAAATTTAATTTTGATTAATGTGAAAGATATACTTTAACTCTTTAGTTCCAACGTAGTAAAATATTCAATTTAATGTTCAGTACGTCTATGTTTCTGTGTCACTGATACGTTATGTACTTTATGTTGCATGGTGACAAAAAAAACCCTATTAAACTTTAAAAGATACATCATTTCCTAGTTGTTGTTCACTTGTGTATATAATTTAACCTTACTAAATCCACAATAACATTATTTTTAAAAAGGTGGCCTGTTTCCATTGTGGATAATAAATAAGATGCTGGTATTCAAATAGTTACCTTTAATAGTTTATATTTCTAGGTGACTTGTTTAATCCTGGCGACCCATGTCCATATTTGTTCCAAAAAAAAAAATGACATATATAAGATGCCACCATCTATAACAAATCTGAAGATTGAGCTATAAAGCTAATTTTGTGTCTGTTGTCAAATTGCCATTCTGTGTGTGACGTTTTGTGTCGTGTTATTTTGGTACTCTGTGTGTGTATGTTCCTAGGGTCTGCCAGGCTTCCCCACAGTTGCCGGCCTTCACAGTAATCAGATTCTCACCGTCAAGGTTTGTGGCCAATACACACCAGCCAGCCAGTCTTTCCATATCAGCATGGAGATGTCCTGGATAATGAATTTGCTTTCAGAACCTGATCATCCCTTATGGATCCTTATATCTTCAATGTTGTTGCATTGCAGAGGATTCAGCAATGAACTGCATTAGATAAAACCCAAACTTATAAGTAAATAACTAACTTTAATGGTCAAAACAGAGTACTTATAAAGGAATCACAAAGATTTTTAAAAATGTATAAAAACTCTAGAAATACTACCACTTATTTTTTTGTCTTGGTGGTGTTACATCCTTGCATTCTTTAAAAATTAATCCTTATTTTAACTACCTAGGGACCAGAAGGCAATTACGCCTCCAGTATTTTAAAGGTCCTGTTGCTCCAGGCATCCTATGCTCTTTGGAAAGTCTGACTGAGTCTGAACTAGTGCTTTGTCTCCTGGAATCTTTGCTCATGAAATGAAATAATAATTAAAAAAAGCATTCCATTTTGATCTTCCAGATACTGAAGAAATATTTTAAAATTAAAGTCCAATTAGGTGTTTTCAGAGCAAGTTTGTGTTGCCACTTACTTCATCAAAGGACAACCCCACGCAGATTCTACCTCCTTGTGCATCTTTGCAATAATTATAAAACAAAGCATAGATTCTCCTGAAGACAGAAGCACCAGTTGGAAGTTATATTTGCAGTTACAAGTCTAATGTATACCTTTCTATTTCTTCTTTGGTGCCTTCTGATGTCTGTTCTTCAACTCTTTCATCTCTGCACTTCAACCTTTGGCCTCACCTGCCTGATCAGATGGTGTTTCCTAAAATCAATCATGGGTTTCTTTCTGCTGATCAGCAGCTCATTAAACGCCGCCTCATTAAGGTAGTGCTTCATCTGTCTCTGAACTTTTCCCATTCTCTTGCTTGCAGCTGATTGCTATAAATATTGATAAAGCTTTTTTTGAACTATATTACTATTAATGAAATGGATGCTTTAAAAAAAAATCCCAGTCAAATAAAACTCATGGGGTTTCACTATATAGTGCTAATTAATTTTATCAATTGTCTTGAGGGTTTTTAAAATTTTGATTGGTAATTGAATAAAACAATATTGTTGAAGGAAGAGTAATTGTTAATTTAACAGTTAATTACTCAACATGAAGCATTGTGAAGTGGATAGACTGATGTTCATCAAGTTGTTCTGAATTGTACTTATGAAAAGGCTGCTTAAAAAAGAAATTAAATAAATATTGAACTGTTTGGTTTAAAGCTTGAAAAAAGTTATACAGATTTCATCAAGAAGTCATATTCCATTGGCCCCATAGATGTCAATCAGTGCTCACTTGCCAAATCTCATGAACTGATTTTGTAACCTGTCATGAAAGCCTCCATCTAACTCTAATGGCTAAACATTTAATACAACATCCAAAGACATGTTTTTCCCCCTGAAGAAAAGTATATGTGAAATTTAGGAGCAGTAAATCTGAGATAATCTCTGTGTATTCTTAAAATGCAGAACTTTCACAAGATCATTCTAGTTTGTGTCATGTACAAATGGAGAATATTTTTTCAATAACATTCTCTGTTGGATTATTACTTGCATGTTAAAAGTGTGCTTACTTGTGGTTTAAGAGTACGCTGCCTTTTTACGCGTGTGCATTTTGTCACTTTCCAATCAAGACAACTGATGCAGTTTGTAAAAAAGCTTCAGAGGCCACAAAGAACAGACAGCCATAATCCAACATAAATTTTAAAAAGGATAACTGAAGCCATGTTCTTGCCTAAAAAGAATAGCCATCAGCATCAATGCTCAATTAATGCCAATAAATTGTTTAGGAATTGCAGGCCTAAATTCAATTCCTTGTCTTCTCTGAGAAGTAATCAGTTCTTTGCTGTTAAAAAAATATGGGAGGGAGGGATGGAAAAAGGGGAAGGAAGGAAGGGTTCAATGCTCCCTGCCAGCTTCCCACAAGGAAAGTCAATGGAGAAGCCAACGGGAAATCAAAAGTCATCCCTGCTCCTGTATCGACTGATGATACCTCGGTTTCTCTGTTTAGGTAAGGTAATATCCTTCAAATGATAACGCAGCATGTCACAGGTTGTCCAGTATGTGATAAATATGAGCAGTTAGTTATGCACATAGACTTTTGACTTTCTTTGTATGCATGATTTCTTGAACATTCTTTTTTTGTTACACTGGATTGTTTGAATATATTAACATTGGTCTTATTGATGGGTGTTCAGGGTGATCAAGGGCAAGCTGGACCTCCTGGACCCCCTGGACCCCCAGGACCAAGAGGGCCTCCTGGAGATACTGGCAAAGATGGCCCACGAGGAGTGCCTGGGGTGCCGGTGAGTCAGTCAGTATAAGTACAACACAGCATATGCATCCTAAATTAAGCTCACAGATGTAGATAGACAGGGAATTAACTGACTTCTTTCAGAATATTTATCTGAAAAGCTAGTATTGGACTTAGCAGAGATGATGAGAACTTTTTTTTACAAACCCTTTAGTATTGATACCTTTTGTTGAAAGAGAAAGAAATGGCACTTTGATATTATTTTTATTTCTCCAACAAAAATTATTATAGCACAGTGACACATTAATAAAAACTTATGTTAAATAATGGCAAGTTATTATGTTAACATCTGTACTTTTTATTTTTTCCTTTTTTATCTTGGTTAATGGATTTTTTTGCTAATGAATAAGTGATCTATGGATGCATACACACGTTGAATAATAATTAAAAAAAACTATTCTGGTAACATTTTGTACAGATTGTAATAGTTAATTAAAATCCTCAGAGCCTTGTATGCCAAAAGCAACCTCATAAATTCATATTAAATTGATATAATTATAATTAATTTCCATATTAAATTCATATATTTAAGATATGTCTGGGAAATGTTTTTCTGTGAAAAATTACATTGAGAATTTTAATATGTTTTACCAGTTAGCAGTGCAGTACATTAGTGTTAAAGTAAATAGTCTTCTGTTCTCCTGTTTTGTAAGAATAATATTCTAAGGAAATACATGAACTTAACTAGAACTATGTTAGGAGCAATGGTGGGATTCAAATGTTTTTACTACTGGTTCTGTGGGTGTGGCTTAGGCGGCATGGCGGGGGAAGGATACTGTAAAATCTCCAGTCAGAGGTGGTATTTGCTGGTTCCCTGAACTACTGAAAATTTCCACTACTGGTTCTCTAGAACTGGTCAGAACCTGCTGAATACCATCTCTGGTTAGGAGAAAGAACTTCTAGGAAACTATTCCTACCATGTTTTTATTATAATTTTATATTATAAGTAATTTTATGATTAATTGACTATATCAAGAAATAATGAATGTCAACCACAATATAATAAAATAGAATTTGATAAGACAAAATGAAATGAAATAAAATAAGATAAAATAGAGTATGACAAGATAAAATAAATTAAGATAAAAATAAAGTAAAGTGAAATAGAGCAGGGGTCTCCAACCTTGGCAACTTTAAGCCTGGAAGACTTCAAATCCCAGAATTCCCCAGCCAGCAAGCTATAACAATACTTTATTTGTGGTCACAGACAAAACACAAGTGCAACAAAAGAAGAACATGGGAAAATTAGTCATGAACAATTGGTCACCAAAAACTTGACAAAGGGGAATTACAGTGTTCTCCTCTGATGGTTATAGCTCTTAAAAAAAAATTGGAAACCTGAGAAGTGATGTATGAGGAGCCATCCCCTAGACAATATAAGAACAAATTACTAACATTGCGTCTAGAAAGGTCTGTTTCAAGGTGAGACAGTAATTTAGATCTACCTGCATTATACATAGGGCAATATAAAAGGACATGCTCCACAGTTTCAACCTCAGCTCTGTCACAGGGGCATAGCTGCTCGTTAAATCAGGAGCCACTTAAATCGCCCATCCTGTAGTGCTGAGGGCAAGACATTAAAGTGAGCTAGGGAGAAAGCTCTTCTATACTTGGGAATGGTTAGAGTGTAAAAATAGGAAGCCATCCTCAGTCCATAATTATTAAATTGGCTGATCAAAGGGGAGCAAGTTTTTTTAGCTCTGGCTCGTAGATATTGCAAGTCAATGTCCACAAGCCGTTGGACTACACTAAATTGGGCGTCCTTAAGGCCATAATCTCCCAGGGCATCCCACATAAAACCTAGCAGGTGTAATTTCTTCATCAGCTTCCTCTCCCAACAAGAAATATGAGAGTCAGCCAATGCCAGGGAGAGGTAGCTACCAGGGTCTGCCAGAAAGAGCACCTGAAACCACCATTTAAAGGTGTTAATCCATGCCATACATTCGACTGATCGAGTGCCCAGTTCCAGGTACATCAGAGCAAAACCAACACAGGGAGGAAGGCCCAGAAGTTTTCTAAGAAAAACAGCCTGGGTTCTTTCAATACAATCCTTGAAACCCTGTATCCATATGGGAATTCCGTAAAGAGTTTGAGCCAAAGTTTTGGCTTTGTAAATACTCAGAGCAGAAGGAATAAACTGGCCTCCTTGGGTATAAAAAAAAAATCTTAAAATCTGCTGTTGACTACAGGAGGCAGAATTTAGCATCTGGGTTCGATGTCTAGTCCAAGCACTGGTGTTCTGAAATTGAATACCTAAATACTTAAAATGGAAAACCTGCTTAACAACATTACCATTGATAGCCCAGTTATACAATTTCCGGGCTCTAGAGAACACCAATACTTTGGATTTGTCATAATTAATGGACAAGTGGTTCTCAGCACAGTAAGACCCAAATGCAAAAAGTAATCTTTTCAGACCTGGCCTTGACAATGAAAGGAGGGCCGCATCGTCAGCATAAAGAAGAAGCAGGATATTCGTAGTTGACAGCTTTGGGGCGTGGCACTCAATACGTCCAATGTGAAAGGCCAAGTCAGATAAGAATAAATTAAACAAAAGAGGAGTCAGAACACAACCCTGCCTTACTCCATTCTTAATCGGGATAGGATTTGAAAGTTCTCCCTGCAAACCACACTTGACCTGACAAGAGATCTGGTTGTACAAAGATCTAATTATGAACAGAATACATCTATCGATAGAACTTTTGAGCAGTTTTGACCATAACAGTCCCCTAGGGACTGAGTCAAATGCTGACCTGAGGTTGATAAAAGCAGTAAAAAGTTTGCCACCTGGTATGGTAGTGTATTTATCGACCAGGTGCGCTAAGACAAAGCAGTGGTCCAGTGTGGCACAACCTGCTTTAAACCCAATCTGTTCAGCACCAATAATATTAGACTCCTCAGCCCAAGTGAGGAGTCTATGTTGGAGATATTTAGCATACAGTTTTCCAATGATGGAGAGCAAGCTTATGGGGCAATAGTCGGCTGGTTGTTCCTATTTCCTCATTTAAAAACTGGAACAATAATTGCTAAGCTCCAGGAGGTAGGGATCCTGCCAGAGGTATTGATATGTGTAAACAGTCTTGCTAAGAGAGGAATCCACCACTCGGGATTGGATTTTAGCAAATTGGGGTATAGCATCAGGGCCAGGGGCTTTTCCTGACTTGAGTTCGAAGATAAACTCGGTAATCTCAGCATGAGTCATGGGTTGCCTGTCAGGAACTGCAGGAGGTAGCTGTGGCCCAAGCACGGTTGAACTTGTTGACACCTGGAAAATTGCCAAGAAATGGTTTTCCCAATCTCTTTTGGAAATACAGCAGAGGGGAATTCTTGATGACCTGGCAAGGAGCTGGCAACAATTTGCCAAAATAATTGAGTGTTCTTCTGCTGAATGGAGAGGAGAAGTAGATCCCACTTCTCTGTCTCTTTAGCTTTCTTTTTCTTAGCAATTAGTCCTTTATACTCCCGCTTCAAGCAATAGTAGTCCTCTGGTGGGCATTTATCCCCTCGATTACGGCAGAGCCGGTAATCCCAATTAATCTGGTTCCTGAACATCAGACACTCTTTGTCAAACCAAGAATTACTTCTTGAATGATATGGACCTCTCAGCCTATGGACGGCTCCTAGCTCCCTTTGAACACTATTAATTAGTGATTCAAAGGCTGAGATTGTCCCAGGGTCACTACTTCTTAGGCCTGATTGTATAGGCCGAGACACTCCGGAGATGATAAAAAGGAGTGGAACTTTCTTGCAGTATTAGAAGAGCATTTGATCCTCCTTGTATACAAGGCCACATAGGGATCTAATATCTGGGGACCCCTAGGGAGATGTATATTTGAGGAAAGCCCAATGATTGTAACCAGGGGGTAGTTGTCACTCTCGGTAAGGCAATCCACATAGAAAGCATGGACTACCTTTCTAAGAAGCTGGGATACCAGCATAAAATCAATAACACTACTCCCACATGAGGAACTAAAAGTAAACTCACCAGCTAGATCACCTAGGGTACTCCCATCTTATTGTGTTGGGTTTCTAAAAGGGCTAACTGAATGCCAGCAAAATTTGTTAATTCATCCTTAGAATGTCTGGCTGAAATCAGATGTCCTATGGCCTGGAGGGTTTCTTGGGAGTAGAGTGCCTCAATTGATGAGGAACTTGGACTCCCAATCGGGCATTAAAGCCGCCCCCTATAAGGATGTACAGCGCTGGAAATTTAATTTCCATACAAGTAATGTAATTCTCCAGCACGCCCCATCGAGCCTTAGTATCAGCTTGCCTCATCGTCAGGGGAAGATAAACATTGAACACTAACAGTTTGCTGCATCCTCTCTTAATTAGGAGCGCCATAGCTAAAGAGCCACAGGGGGACAGCTCCACTGTCTCCACTTTCAAAGAAGTAGAGACCAAGCAAGCTAGACCACCCTTAGGCCTTCCTGTTGTAGATTGTCTGGTGGCGGCCAAGGAAATGACTGTAAACCCTGTAAGGGATATCTTATCACATGCCCAGGTCTCCTGAAGGACCACATCAAATGAGTGAATATAGTTGGTGAATTCTGTGGTACCACACCTTCTCCCCCAGCCTGCTATGTTCCACGAAAGGTACTTAAGTGTGTGTGTGGGGGGGGGGTTGCTAGATTTAATAGTCATTCTGTGTGATTAATTTTTCCCATTTTTCACCCTTCGGATCCGAAAAGATACACCCGTTGTTAAGTGGCAGGGCATTAATTGGTTGCTTAGCTGGCAAGTATTCAGCAGCAACAACAGACGAAATTTGAAGTAGCCCTGGATCTTCAAATTTACGAAATAGACAGCTTAAAGTTGCCAAGGTTGGAGACCCCTAAACTAGAGGATGTACTGTAGAATGTCCCATTTGAATGAAAAACTGGCTGTTTAGCAAAACAGATGTCAGACAATCAGGATGATTTTACTTTATTATTTAACACCTCATTAAAAATGTGGATGCAATTAGAACACAGCAAAATCCAATTAAACAGTATAAAAATTTGATTAAACAATCTCATCTATCAGTACCCTGGAAGTGTGCCATTCCAAAGAGCCATAAAGACTTGATTGTTCTCCCAGGCCCCAGCCTAGGTTAGTTGGTGCCCTTTTCAATAAAATCTGCAACATTGGGGATTTGTGTCATTTCTAGGTGCACTTGAATTTCTACGAAATTTCTAGGAAATTCAAGTAAGATATTATATCTAATATTCCAAAAGTCGTATGAATTATCATTTTTCCTATATAATGAAGATGAAGTTGATGTCCAGTACATCCTGGATTAGATTATTCATTTAGTCCAATATTCTATAATATTTTTGTGTATATGTTTAGGACATATACAAAGAAGGCATGAGTGCAGTAACCTCCCCCTTCTGCCATGTAAGATCCATGAACACCACATGGTCCTCACAATTAATGGACACGCTGAGTATTATTTTTGTCTATTCATCTTCTTTTTAATTGTATTTATCATTATTTTGTGTTTAAGGGAGAACCTGGAAAACCAGGTGAACAAGGTTTGGTGGTAAGTAGGTTTATATTTTCATTTTTCTGTTTGGTATAAGGTATATTCTTATTACTATGGTCATTGTTCATTAAGTATATTTGCTTTCAAATCATGTAGTTTCACAATAGCATACAACAACATGGAATGACAACCATTAATAACAGTAATAATAATAACATATGTCCATCCTCATTAATCTAATGATACAATACAAATTCATAGCAAATCAAAATTGAAGTACTGGAGAGTATAATCTGAAACAGTGGTCGCCAACCAGTGGACTGGGGACCACTGGTAGTCCGCGAGAAAATGTTGGTGGTCCACAGAGAAATGTCCCCCCCAAAGCACTCCCCCAAAGCAATTAATCCAAGCTGCACAGGAACACAAGGCTGTGCCACCCACATGTCCCACCCACCCACTGGCCCCCACTCTTCAGCCAAGTGCAAACCTTACCTTGAATAGAGCCTCGTGAGCTGAAACTGGAAGATAAGACCAACAGTGGGGGAGAGAAATCTCCCCCAGGGTGGCTTGCTGGCATTGGTGGGAAAGTCAGTCCCATATTCCAGAGCTGCAGTAGTCACAAAACTGGCCCTTTGGTCATCCTGGAGCAGCTCCTCCAGTCCATGACAAGCCGGTGCACCCGGGTAAAAGAGCAGCTGCTCCGGGATGACCAAAGGGCCAGTCCTGTGACTACTGCAGCTCTGGAATATGGGACTGACTTTCCCACCAACATCAGCAAGCCAGTCAAAATTCATATTAGTGGTCTGTGGGATTTAAAATTATGTGTTTGGTGGTCCCTGAGGTCCAAAAGGTTGGCAACCCTTGATCTAAAATGCAGTACTGAACAATCTATCAAATTTAGGTACCCCCCCATCTCATTCTCAGTCTGTGAGTAACCTTTCTGTTATACATGAAATGTGAAACTATGTAGTGAAGAATAATGAGGTTATAGATTCTTTCTCATTTTTGAAAAAATATTACTTTTATTTAGCAGAATTAATAATTTATTAACACTTTGGATCAAAACATGAATCCAAATGTGTTTATTAATTATATGAGATTTATAGTTTTGAATTCTGCACAAACTCCATATGTTATCAGATTTTTACTCATGACTAAAAACATAATCATGGTCCTTTAGAAATCTTAGAATACAATTCCCAGAATTCATATGCTGCCTGGAATCTGAGAGTTATTGCCTAACATGTTGTTAGGCACAAGAATCAGGCATAGGAATTGAGTCAAAGCACTAAAAGTTTATTAAATGCAACCTATATACAAGAATCTCATCTACTAATGATCAAGTTAAATTGTCTCTAAGTAAGAGCAACGCAATTCCCGGGGTGGGGGGTGGGGGAGCTTGGACTTGGATTTCTTCTGGGAGTGTAGCTATTCCAAACTGATAACACATTTGATCCCACCCTTGGGCTCAGCCTACTCATCTCTTACACATATCAAGAGGGTGTTAAATTGTGGAAGGCATGAAAGAACTGCTTCCGTTTTAGTGTTTTTAACCTTTTTCTATGAAAGAGGTATCTCTTCTGCTACTTGATAAAAATGGAGAAAAACTGCTGATTCCCAACATAAAAGCAGAATTTTCAGATATGTTTATAAAGGGATATTTAAATAACAGGCATTAGAAATTTGATAACAAAGAGTTTTGTTTGATTGTGTTATCCAACAAGTTTAAGATCTCACTTCTCACAGTGCTGAATTTGATACCTTCAGGAGGCCCAGAGCACTTACTTATAAAACAGAGTACAACTGCTCATGTAACTTTGGGTACCATTTCTTAACAGCATGTTAAATTGTTAGAACTATTATAAAATATTGCCAAAAACCTTCTCCCCAAACCAATAGCAAGACAAAAATGTAAGAACAAACTATGTAAAATGCTAACATACATTCTGAAACATTTTAAGCATTTTTTAAAAAATGTTGCTTCCGCAAAAGCTGCAAGATATCCATGTAGCATGCTTCCTAAAACCAGCATTGTACCCTATGCTATTCAGGTAGTCAGTTAAGTCAGTTTGTACATATATTAATAACTTGCATTCCTTTGTTCTCTCTAAGAGTGTATGGAAAAATAGGAAGGAGAGAAAGTTATAAATAGATCATAAGTAAATAAAAAGCAAAGTCTTCATGACCTGAAATGCCAAACCTCTTCTGTGGCCATAAAAAGCAAAGTCTTCGTGACCTGAAGTGCCAAACCTCTTCTGTGGCCATTCTAGAGAGTTTCCAGAATATAGCTGGTGCTTGACTCAACTCAGTGAGCTTCAAGTTCACAGGGCAAGGAACATATGTCAGTATGAATAAATGGTGAAATGCATTCTGAGGGTGGTTTTAATTACAGTTGGCATATCCAGTCACAACTGCTGCAGGCATCCTTTTTTCTGAAGAAAGACTTTTTTCAGTGTATATGATTCATTTTCCTCTGGGAACAGAAAGAAAGAAAAATATGTCAATATTATGTTATAATATTGTAATAAGAGAAAAGGTTATTTTTTGAGAGCCTACTATATTCCAAACTCATACATCACAATGCATGATTTATTTTTATATTTAATTAACACATTTTTTATCTGACTCCTTAGCTAGAAAAGCAATCACAACAGCCTAAATAAATCCCATTTTAAGAGACAATCCTGATTTGCAGTTTTTCACAGCTAGAGAATTGGAATAGGTGATAGGAATGGTTAACACTGCAAATTTCCCCTCTTAAATTCTACATACAATATTAAGGTAAATGGTGTCATAATTCTGTATTTAACTGATAAAAGTTCTGTTTTCTTCACCTCTGTAACCTTCATTATAATTTGATTAACAAGAGATAAAATTTCCACCCTTACTTTAATTACTCACATTTATGGTTGAAATATCTGCGCCAATCAAGTTTATACATTGATTTTTGTTGAACAGTGATTCTATATACAGTAGCACAGAGAATGAGTGTAATGTAGAACAGTGGTGGCTAACCTTTTTCTGTGCCAAAAATTGCGTTCACACACACACGCTAATGTGCCAGCACCCAGAAGGCAATGCATGCACCCATGCCCCTGTGTATGCATGTGCAACTCCACCCGTGTGTCCCGTGAGTCTCCCACGCCCCCCCTGAACTCCGCACATGCGTGCCAGATATCCAACAATCAGGTGTTGGGCTGCATGTGCAGTGGGGTTCTGGAAGGAAGGAAGGAATCTAGCAGGTCATAATTAATATACAGAAAGAGAAAAATACCTGTTGTGTTTTTACAGAATACTTAGATTTTCCCTAACGTACAAAACATCAATTACTTTGATTCAAGATAGGTAGTTGCACAATGGAGCATGCTTTTAATTAGTTATTTAAACTTAAACTGTCTATATTATTATGTTAATTCCATTGTTCTCCCTTTTAGGGACCTCAGGGGCCTCCAGGACAAAAGGTATAGTATACTCAGTGATAAGAAAGGTGTTTTTTTTTCTGCCTAGTGCCAAGGTACAATCTACTGGCATTCTATAGCAGCTGTTTAGTTTGTGAGCTCTATTTTCTCAAAATACACCACTAAAGGAAGAAAAAAAATCTCAACTCCTCACCAACACAGCTTAGTTATAGAAATGAAGGCAATGTTTCCTTTCACCCTGTTAGCTAAAATTTACCAGTTAAAGAGTTATAATGTTCTGACTTGAACTGGTAAAATAATGAAACCAAACTCTAAACATAGTGGAAAATGCATCTTGAATTTCATTTGGCCTTTGAATTGCTGCCATATGATTTAAGAAAAAAATATTCTAGGTGTTGTTGAAATATGGATTTTTGATTGCTGGCCAGTATAATTTGATTTCTATAGTAACCAGAGAACTGACTTCCTGTGAATGTTTTCAATATTATTTACATTCATCAGGATTGACAGTGACAGAATGAATTCACAATTTATGGACTGTAGCATTGTACCAGTACCAAATACGGCAGGAATAAAAAATATTTCAAATGAATTTTCTGAGGCAGCTGCCCCATCTCTCTCCATCCTCAACTCAAGACAAATTGTTTGGACCACTGTTTCTTTAAAGGAAAATGTTATATTAACATTTCATAAACTGTAGGGGTTCAAGAAGGAATTAAAGGACACTAAAATAATTGTTACTTGTAAATTGGGCAAAACTTCTGTTTATAACTGGAAAGTGGTATTTACAAAATAAAGTCATCAGCTACTATCACAATAGCATAATGTAATCAATGTGGTTTGTTTCTTTTTATTCTCTTTTCTTTAAGTTTAGTTTGTATTATATTCTGTTTATAATAAAATATTAAATAATTTTAACATACTAATTGTAATCATATAAAATTATTAATAACAATTATGCAGTAATATGCCCACTTTTGAAGTGCAAGCTCTATAGCTGTTCAATTGACAATTGTAATTAAGCCTGGAATTATGGTCATAAGTCATTGTGATTGTAAATTGAGGTGATTTGACCCAATTTTTCAATATGCAATGGTCTTTTTAAGTAAACCCTGTGGGCATTAAGTAAATGCTGTGGCAATTAAGCAAACAATTTTCACAGGTGATTTTCATTCATAGGTGATTTGTTTTTGTTTTGTTTAAGATTAGTTCTCAAAACCTTTCAACAAGTAGCAGCACACTGGATGGATCAAATAAACGTGGTTTATTTTCTTTCATATTACTGTTTAAAATGGGCATATATGTTTCAGTTCAGTATTTTATAAAAAAGGAAAGGAGTATATTGATAACACATGGATGATAACCAGGGGTGGGATTCATCCAGTGTAATAGCCAGTTCGGTGAACACGCGCAGCATTTGAAAATCATCTTTTCCTGCAAGCCCTGTGTGTAACAGAGCACGCACAGCAATCAGCTGTGCCACGCCAAGCAGCTGAGGTTGAAAAAGCAGGACATAAAGAACAGCCTAGAGCCCAGGCTGGCGGGTGGGCCAAACAGAAAAACAGAAGATCGTCGAAATGAACTGATTCCCTCTCAGCTGATCTTCGGAGCTAACCAGTTGTGGGATTCAATTTTTTTAACAACAACGTGTCTTAGTTGTTGGGCATGGTTTGGTGGTCATGTGACTGGCTGGGCATGGCCAACTCAATATCACTCACATCGAGGCACACATCTCCTCACCTGGCTTCTCATAACTGGGGATGCTGCAACAGTCATAAGTGAAAAATGGTCATGTCACTTTTTTCAGTACCATTGTAACTTTGAATAGTCACTCCACACAAGCAAAGTACCAGCAAAGGAGGGGAAAGAAACTCCAGAGAAGTTCCAGAGGTAGGAAGTCTAGTCCTGCCAAGAATGTAATAAGGTTCAATGGAGAGGCAGTTTCTGTAAGCAACACCAGAATGTTTTCTTCCTGCCTTCCTTACAGGATGAGGCCAGTAATTTCTTCTAACAACTGGTTCTCCAAACTGCTTAGAATGTTAACAACTGGTTCTAGCGAATAGGTGTGAACCTGTAGAATCCCACCCTTGGAGCTAATGGTTCAACCCCACCACTGATGATTACCATATTCAAAATTAGGAGCATTTAGGTAATTCTTTAAAAATAAAATATGGAATATATTCTAAAACTATGAGCAACTTTTAAACATTGAATTCATTTTTAGCACACAAAGTTTGCTTCATAATTCTGAAACAGAATACACAACAATAACATAAAAAGAATAAATCTTTATATTTAATGTAAAGAATAATGCCACTGAAAGCTGAATGTATGAATCAAGTTCCATAATTTATAAAAGATAAATATGTACAGTGAAAAATTGCATGATCTGTTTGATAATTTTGCTAAATTCAAACATATGATTCTATTCAGGGTTCATTTGGTGCACCTGGTATTCCAGGAACGGATGGACAACAGGTAATTTACTACTGTAATCTGTTTAGAAATTACTCTAACTTAATTCAATGGCTCTTATTCCCAGGATAGCATTGCTATTTTGAAATACTATTTTTGCAAATCCATGAAATTAAGACATTTTCTCTAATATAAAAGCAAAAAGTGGGCCACATGGTTTGTCTTGGTCAGAAAAGTTTATATAAATTGTAAACACTGTGACATGAGAGACAATAAACAATGTACAACTAGAATGACTGCAACCCAACACAATGTTCCATGTGCATAAAAACAAATGAAATTAATGGAGCCTAGAAAATACAGTGTTGCTCTTTAGCTTAAACTTTTATTGATGACTGTAAGGTTAGAGAGCAAAGTAAAGAAAGATGAAGAAAATTAAATCCCTCCTGTGGGGATTGCAATGAGGAGAGAACAGAAATCGATGCATTTGGCAGAAAGCAAAACTAGAGATCAGTTAAAATATAACTCCATGAGAAAATAAGTGAAGGCTTCTTGGTGACTGGTATTTCTCCTTTATCAAGAAAATAAGTGATGTAGGCTTAGTGACAATTCTTTAACGTACCAGTTCACTTTAAATTTTGTTGTCTCACAGCTCTTTGACTGGCAACCTGCATTAAACCTTTAACTAAACCAAGATAAATATTTCAACCCAACATTATATATGACTAGAAAAAATGTTCCTCCAGTATTTCTAGTAATTTAATATTTCTTTAAATTTCCATAATAAAATTAAGTCATTATAACTTCCACAAGGACAATTTATGCCCAAGAACAATAGTTAAATTCCTTAAAACGTGTATTAGAATTTACAGCAACTGGTGTGTCATTCTTGGCTGATCAGGTTGATATTTTAATAAATTGCATCTTAGGTAAAATGATTTTTAAATCATGGGCCTCATAAAACTGCATTATTAAAGATTACCTTAGCGTGAAGAAAAACATTTGGCACAGTAGAATTTATATAATGAATGCACAAACTGTTATTTTCATAGATGCTACCTTTTCTTTTTTAAAATATTCATCAGTTTACATTAAAATACATAAAGCAGCCTAAATTTTGTTTCTTCTACTTATTCTTGCCATGGAAAAACTTTTCACTGATTTAGCCTTATAATAAATTAACCATGGGTGTTTCTACAAAGCTCTGTTCTGATGTCGGACATATTGCCTAAGAGGTATATTTCGGAAATGAGAATTTATTCAACTGTTCTTAAACATGATGAATGATGCCAAAATAATGAAATGCGCATTGTGGTGCCATGATTTAAGTGCTATTTTGCATACTTACTTTGCAATATTGTAACACAATGTCACAATGTGCATGTCTCCCATAATGAATGCCTACAGATAAAGATTCTGTTATTTTCTTTACTTATTCTGGGCATTGGCTGCTGGAGGGGATGCATTCCAATTTGAACAGACACAGACACACTTTCAACTGGCAAACTCCAAATCCAAAAATGCTAGAGAAAACTAATCCAAAAAATGCTAGGGAATTTCCAGAATCTTGCTATTCAGGCAAATTAACCATCAAGAGATACATAGAAATATAACATATTTACAAACCATTCAAAAGAGATAACAAAAGACTAAAGAGGAAACAAAAAGACTATAACACATCCCTCCTAGCAGACAAAATCCACATAAGAAGGGATTAACACTAGGCAAACAATCAGAAATAAAATAAGACCCTAATCAAGGAGCTGCCAAGAAGAAAATCAAACCCCAACCAACATTGGTAACATAAGGTACTGTATAGTGTGCAGGAGCCCCATACTCATCAGCACTGTTGATATCTGGGTAACAAAATAGCTACAAGCAAACAGCCAAGTTCAGAGAGCACCAATGATTCAATGATTTGTTTTCAGTGTTAATTCTACTTTCTGTAATTTATGACTGGATTGCCATGGACAATCTGAAACTTTAACCTTTCTCAATTCAAATCTATTATCCTTATGAGATTATGTTTTCATATTAATTAGATGTTCAGAGGCATAGCAGCATATATTAAAGTCCTTTGGGTTTTGGTTTGGTTTGGCTTGGGTGGTTTTTGTTTGCCAAGTAAGTTCTTCCTTAGTTTAACGTTGGTTAAACTAAGGAAGAGCTTATATTACAAAAAGAAATAGTAATGCATTCACACAGAAGCTCTTTTCAAATGTTAGACTTCTGTGTTTCAAAGCAGCTCTGTCATTTTTTAAGACAGTACTTTGCTGTTATTTAATTATTTAATCTTTCAGATAGGAGGGAAAGTTAAAGTTCTGCCAATTTCATGACATATGTCATATTATTATGAAAGATGCAATGCCAGATGAAGCTGGAATAAATTTAGTTCCATTGTGCATTATGGATGCTGCTGTTGTGCATTCTCACATTAGAGCTAAGGCCTTTTGAAGAATCAGTAGTTCTTTCAAAATAAGGTTCTGTAAACCAAAACAGAACAAAGCTCAGAAAGCTTGGTTCTGTATTTCTAAACATCTCCAAGTATAGTTGATAATATTCATCATAGACTAGAATACACAGAAATAGCACTTAGAAGATTAAATAGAATAGAATAGAATAGAATAGATTAGAATAGAATAGAATAGAATAGAATAGAATAGAATAGAATAGAATAGAATAGAATAGAATAGAATAGAATAGAATTCTTTATTGGCCAAGGGTGATTGGACACACAAGGAATTTGTCTTGGTGCACATAAAAGAAAAGATACATTCATCAAGAATTATAAGGTACAACACTTAATAACAGCCATAGGGTTGTATAGTCATAGAGTATATAATATGTAAATATAGTCATAGGATACAATAAGCAATCAAATCATACTAGGAAACAGTCAATAAAATTGTAAGGATACAAGCAACAAAGTTACAATTATACAGTCATAAGTGGGAGGAGATGGGTGAAAGGAAGGATGGGAAGATTAATAGTAATAGTAATGCAGATTTAGTAAATAGTTTGACAGTCTTGAGGGAATTGTTTGTTTAGCAGAGTGATGAGGAAAGCTCAGTATATTTCCAGTTTCTGGGGCATTCTTGTGAGGTATAACAAATTGATCCCTAATGAACAATTACTGAATTTATAACATAATTGAAATGATAACTTAATGTCAATTAACTGAATATTTCAGAATATGTACATTAAAATATTTTAGTAGAGAAAAGATGCATACATAAAAACAAAAATTACATTGCCTAATATAAAAAATATTTGCACTGTTTTACACTTCATAAATACAACCTTAGCTTGTTCTGTATATAACATAAATTTTGACTTACTATTAAAATAATGCACATTGGCAAGGCAAATTCTAAAATTGACTTCACAATAATAATAATATATAATTATGCTGGTTAATATAGCATGTTGGATTAATATGCATTATTCAAATGAAATTGGACTAGTCTTTTTCTCTTTGTTTTGATTATCTCATAAAACTGTTGTGAGAGAAAGACGAGCAAGTGCATCAATTAGTCATAAATAAACTCATACATATGAAATATATAGTTGCTGCTGGGTTCCATCTATAACCATAGTAACTGTGCTCATTCTATGCTCACTTCTATTTGACAATTGCCCAGGAAAAGACTTTCTGCAGTCTTGTTTTGCCCGACAGTCATGGAACTGAATCCTATTAAGTCACACTGAAATGAAAGAGAGAGAAAAAATATCATAACTAGAAAATATTTAGTCATTTTAGTCATTTAGACATCTTAATTAACTAAACCTACCTCCGATCTGAGGGACATGGTTGCTCAGTGACTAAGATGCTAAGCTTGTCGATCAGAAAGGTTGGTGGTTTGAATCCCTAGCACCACGTAACCAAGGTACCAAACATCACTTCCTTTAGTTTGTACAGAAAGTTCCCAGGCAGGTTTTGTGAGCATTCAGAACATTGCTAAAAATATGTATTATTTATTTAACTTGACAGATGGGCAGAAAAGCCATAGAAAAAATAATTTAAGATATCAGGGAGGTAATAAGAAAGAGGAAAAGTATATTGAAAAATTCTTGTTCAGCTCTAGCTCAGAATGTTAGGAACATATCCAAAATACCACTTTTCATTATCCCTGCCTTTGGCTCACAGAACCTAGGAGAAATCTGGTTTCTTTTTAAAAATTGTAATATAATTTACAAATAAATTGGCATAAATTAGTGGAATTCTATAAATTTTCTTTTTTTGTCATCAAGAAATCCTTCTGCTTTCCTATAAAATTGAACTAAGAAATATCCTCCAACTGCATTTGGAGACATGGTAAAATCCTGTTTTATCAAGTGAAGAAGGGGAAATGTGCTTCAAATTGAGTTTGAAAGCTATGGACACATCCACTGTACTGTATTTGCTTGTTTGTGGCAACAGTACAGAAGTGGGGTTGCCGCTGCTTTTTTCCATGATGTTTTCAAGGTCTATAGTTTACTTATTCTCTGGAGTTGGGATGGGGTGGTAGAAGTTCTCTCACAAAATTAGTGATTAGTCCCATCCTTGCTTAGCTTCTTTCCCTAGGCATTTTCCATCACATATGTCCATTACAGAGTATTTTTTAACAAGACTGATAAAAGCATATAACAAGCTTTGGCCTGTTAGCCTTTGGGTGATTCTTCTGACTCTGAGCCAATAGATTTTGTTATACAGCAGGATTGTCATCAATTCTGGTAGGAGAAGTATTTTCCACTAAGTCATATGGGATAAGTTGTCCTGCTGTTCATTGTGATATCTATAATCCACTTTGAAGCAATATATTGTGACAAGAAGACTGCCACAAGAATTCACAGTGTCTGTTTTTCAGAAGTGTAGTTTTCGGACATCAGTACCTTCATTCAGTTTTACAGGCTTGGAAAAAACCTATCTTGCCCAATATGAGGACTTCAAGGGAGCCAGTTTAAAAAAGGTCTATGCTTTGGCAAAAATAAGTATTTTCAGAACCTTGGAAAGCTCCACACAGGAAGCTCTAAACTTGGTTGAATCTGCAACGATGACAGCACTACATTTTCATAGGGCAAATCATATTGAGGACTTGCTTCAGTCAGGCTAAACTAGTTCATCATATTTTGAATCCTTACCATTGTGGCAATATGACAACTATTTGGGAATTCTGCAAGTTGAATTTCAATTATCTGGAAAATATCCTATTTACTTGAGGCTATCAAAAATATCTAAAAGAATAAACAATTTACATGCTGTTGCAAGACATTTTGATAATCCTATAAATATATTTTCCAACTGTGGATTTTGTATTTTAAAATGGGTTATTTCTGAGGCATCAGCTCGGATACATCCCAGGCTATGGCATTTAATAAACCATATTAAAGTAAGTTTTTTTTTAAAAAAAATCTTGCTTAATGCAATTATTGTCCATGCTTATCTCCACTCTATTCTTAATGTAAAACAATTTTTTGAGATTTATATATTTGCATATTTAATGCTCTTAGAAATGCCTTTATCCTCTTTCCATTTAAAAGGAGTTCATGACAGAGATGAAACAAATGTTAATAAATTTATGACATACCAAAAATAGTAATTATCCTATGTATTAGTTTAATTCTTTGTATTAATCAACCATTCTTTGATAATAATAAAAGAGAATTATAAATGAAACATAAATTTTCATTTCTGTTTTTATTGCGACACAATACTTTTGAATTGATCACTTAGGCATGAAATTTGCTGATCCAGTTCCATTCAATTTATTTTTTATGGCATTATTTCAGGGAGAACCTGGTGTAATGGGAGAAAGAGGAGACTCTGGGCTTAAGGTTAGTAGATAAAATACTGTCTAGTAATTTTTTACACTCTCTTTTTATACATGATATTTTTTTTTGCAATTCTTTTGAAAGTCATTTTTTGTAGCAGAATAGTTTGTGACATTACATTATCAGTGGAGCTCATAGAGAGTAGAACAATAATCTCCAATACACACACTCAGATAATTGTTATAAAATATATTTTACTTATATCAAAAGAATAAATGGGTTATATTACAATATTCCCATAAGATTCTTCTGTGCTACTATAGTCATAGTGGGAGCTCCACAGCATTCTGGGTTGAAAGGATTGGATGGTAACATTACCATTATCCAGGAACACCCAGTTGGCAGCTCTTTCATGTCCCTGTTAAGTTGTCCACTGAAGTGGTACCCATTTATCTACTTGCAGTTGCTTGCTTTCAAACTGCTGGTTCAGCAGGAGTTGTAGCATGTGATGAGAGCTCACAGTAGCAACCAGGTCTTGATTATGAGCGTGCTGATCATCAACCCAGCATCCTATACTTGTGAACCACCGGACTCCGTAGTTTCTTCTGTAGTCATATATGATTTAAATAATGAGCCTTTTCTGTAGATGGTTCACACATGATGATCCTTTGATGAAAAGGATCTTCATTTTCCCAGCTCCCTACCCAAAGATGTCCTTTGCAAAATTTAAGTGTTTACATATACTGGTTTACATATACACTGATTTTATGATTATTGAGTGAAATATCGCTGAATGAGATTTTCTGATAAACCAAATTTGGTTGATTAGCAGTACAATTCTCCCTTTCAGTTTTCAGTCAGAGAAAGTTTCAGGGACCAGGACTGAAAATTATGCACATATCTTAACGCTGAAGAGCTGCTTATAGTCAAAATACTAACCTACATGGACAGAAACTCTGCCTTGGTGCAAAGCAGATCTATATGTCCTAGCCTTGTTAATTGTCAAATGTCCTATTTTACATACAGTGATTAGTTTTTAAAGCTATTAGAAGATATTCTTCTAACTGAAGAAGTATGTATTTGAACCATTGTCCCAATCCCATTATAAAGATAAAGAAGAAAAAGAAGAGCCTTGAAGTTTCCTTAAATTTGTACCTGGCAATTAGATTAGTCATACAGAATACACAGTAATGGTTGCAAACTTGCCTACGATAGTGATGTTTAAGTTGCAGTAATAATTAGTAATTTGTAGTTTTGTATATAATAATGTTTAAGAAAATATGATTAATAAATCATATTACTATTGTAATTTGTCACATCAGTGATAAATCTGCTTTAATGAAGCTTTTGTCTTATTCATTAAACATATGGGATCAAAGTTTACAAAGCATCATGCAGTTCTTAAGTCTGGTGGTGAATCAATACAGTCTGATCAAGAAAAAATGACTCTAAATATCTCAAAAGAAAAAAACAACAGTCCTATAACTAGTATATAAATGCTCTTAAGTTTAATAGTCTACATTCTTTGATTTCATTGGTCATGCTAATGTATTTTTAGCATGCAGTCCTAGGTCACAACCAGAGGTGTTATTCAGCAGATTCTGACTAGTTCTGGAAAACCACTAGCGGAAATTTTGAGTAGTTCGGAGAACCGGCAAATACCTCCTCTGACTGGAGATTTTACAGTAGCCTTCCCCTGCCCCGCCCACCAAGCTATGCCCACAGATTCAAAAAAAAGTGAATCCTACCACTAGTTGCAACAGAATTTGGATCTCATAGGAATGAGACAAGATCTGAAAATGATCGTCTTGGTACACATATTTCTCACTTTAGAGTTTCACTGATAACAGTTAATAGCTAATTAGTTTCCCTAATGTTATATTTTAGAAATGCAAGAAATCAATAATCAAAAATGTTTGAATGAACTATATAGAGGCAAAGTTCAAACATAATCAGAGCCTTTAAAGATGCTTTCCAATCTGTAAGCAGTCATTAATATGAAATATGGAGTCTGAGAATACAACTGTAAGATAATAACAAGCCAAAACAAAACCATTAGTTATTTGAGATTATAGTTTCTCATCGGGTAGGAGAAGGAATGGCAGAACAAGGAGAAGAAATTTAAAAAGCAATCAGTCTAGACTCTCTATGTCAACAATTCCCAACTTTTCAGGCTTGATGACCCAGTGGGGGGGAGGGGATGGTTCCATGAAAGTGGGAGGTGGGCGTGCACAGCTCTATTTGTGTGAGTGGTGTGCGAGGGTGCCTGCTGCTCACACACTTTGTATGCAGGGGCTGGTGGCCGCTGCTCAACAAGGAAAGCTTCACACGCATGCCCTCAGCTTGCAAGGTTCCGAACAGATTGTGCTTATGGATTGGGAGCCCCCTGCTTTACATAGTCACAAGAAATCCAAATATAAGACAGTGTATCATATTTCTATTGAATCAATGTCAAAATTACTATTTTTATTCTTGCATGTATATTTATTAAATAGATGCAATGGTCAGAGATAAAGGTTTGATAGATCTGCATGAATGTCCTTTGAGAACAATAAATGCATTATTTCTGTCTTCTGTTTCAATTAGGGCGATCCTGGACAACGGGGAGAAAAGGTAATGTAAATACTTATGTATGAATACAAACAAATAATTTCAAAATTGAGTTGTGAAGTGTTCAACAACTTTTTTTTACATTTCATTTTATTCAAGAACTTAGAAAATCAGCACCCAGTTCAATGTTATGTATTCATAAGGTGCTGTAAAAACTATAGAAAATCAGATTTTTCATTTTGAAAGGTTGTAGGTCACATTGTAACTGGAAGAATTGAAATAAGGCAACCAATTTGGGAAGAGAAGGGAACAAAAAAAAAGGAACTTAAGCATTTAATTGTAATGGTCTAGGACTCTAGGTGATGCTACTGAGGCCTAAAGTTTGAGGAAATTCCCAGCTCAGATTCTACATTCTTGGGAATTTATGAAATTCTGTAAAGAAAAACAATGTTGAAAATAACTACATAGTTATTTTAAACCAGTGTTATTAGACTTTTTTCTAATAAAAAAAGGTTTTAATATTTGTCAATAGAAAAATGATGAGATATGGGATGAAAATATATATTTCTTGGAATATTAGAGAATATTCATTTGTTTGTTCATTCATTCATTTATTCATTCATTCATTCCCTTCCCATTCTTTCTCCTTTTTCATTTTCTATTTTTTTTCTTGTTTATATTAGTCTTGGTTTGTATTAGTTTTTAATCTTTGTAATTTTAAATTTAAATATTATTGTAAAAAAAAAATCTTAAGCAAAAACCAAGTTTGATATGACAGGAAGACAGACTACCGCCGGTACAGAAGTAGATTGTTCGATTTTTCTACTATATCATTTCTTTCTTCCATTACTCTGTCACTCTTTTTGTTTATTTCCTTCGCCTAGTTTTATAGCTTTCTTCAAAACTGTCAGTAGTAATAAATGTAGGATGCTTTTAATAGGAAGCAACTGGTAAATGAAAAAAATTTAAAAGAACTTATTCTGATATTTAGGGTGATGCTGGAGAAACTGGTCCGAAAGGTCACCCTGGAGAAAAGGTACAATTCATAGAGAAAGTCAATGAGTACATTTAACTTCAGGTTAAAAACAATAGAGATAAATTTTTTAAAAATTAATTATAATTTTAATGCTAAAATTTAATAAAATGTAATATATTCAAAATTGTAGTTCAATATACATTCATAAATGTTTATTTTATAGTGTTTGCAAGGCATAGTCAAGAACATTTGTTTTTAACAATATGAATCATTTGATTTTGTTTTTAGTAACTGTAATCTTAGTATCATCATATTATTTGTGATAACTAATTAAACTGATGTCATCCATATAAACTTCCATTATAATGTTGCTAAAAGGGACAATTTATTGGGACATTTTTCATTGTAATATTTCTTCTGCAAAATGTCAGTAATTACCATGAATCTCCTAGCTTGTGGAATCTCCTCCCCAGATTTTTTTGTATTTCTTGTTATAATATCTAAATATTTCTTGTAAAATTGGTAAATCTGTGCTGAGCTTCAGGCAACTGTTTTAAACTGAAATGGGACATAATGAGCTCAAAACAGGTTGAACACAATACGTTTAGCACGTTTCTTTTTCCTTTCTCCTTCAGTCAACAGTATAAAAAATTGAGGGAAGAAATCCCTTAGATCATATAGGATGGCTGAAGCCTGTTTTGTGTAACTGTAGAGTCCAGAATTTTCTGCTTTGGCTTTCCTGGTTTTCTTGTTCTGTTTCAGAAGACATATATGTAGACAGACACCTCATATTACTCATGAATTCTAGTTGGACTTCATATATCTTTGGCTTGCATTTGTAGAGCTTTCCTTCCCACACTTGAAATACTCGGTTTTAACCAAATACACCAGAGATTCAAAAGTGAAACTTAGTAAGAATACATTGCCAATTCTCACATTCCTACTACATAGGACATATTCCATCATGTGAGTTGGTAAAATTTGTAAATAGTAGATGGTTCAGTAAGCTGTTCTTTCTCAACTAGAAACAGCTAAAGTAAGCATACATTATCTCTATTCCTCCTTGACTTCATAGCCACAAACATTTATAAAATAATAAACCAATTTAAAGTACTTTCTTGGTGTCTTAGGGGCCAAGACTATATCAGTTTGTATTTGTATTTGTAAATCCAACAATATTTTAACATGCTTATTTTTGAGTACTTTTTCAACTGTACAGTATGTTCCCACCATTTTTTTAATTACTGGCACATCTTAATTTTTACAGATATTATTCTGGTGACTGTTATGTCGCTGTTTAAACTTTTGGGTATATGATCTATTGCTGCTCCTTCTGCTTTGTACAATTTGCACTTTGAATCATTGGATGATTTTTTTTCAATTCTAGCCTTGATTGCATTAGTTTACTCTTGAGCAGCCAAAATCAAGCCTTTAGTTTCCAGTGTATAAGTCATTGCCAGGTTTTATCTTTATCCACTTTCCCTCAATCTTTTATAGAAATTGACCATGTAATACTTTTCCTTGCCAGCATTCTGTTCTGGTTTTTATTCCCTTAGTTCAATATTCATGCTTTGTTTCTTGCACATCCAGTAAGTTCCCATTTTTAATATCAATCAGTGCTTGTTCTTGGCTGCCTTTTATGTAATCAGCCAATACATGCTTTTCTTCTTCAGTAGGTTTTTTAATTGAAGTAAACCTCTACTTCTGTATTATTACTATTACTATTACTATTACTATTACTATTATTATTATTATTACTATTATCCAGGGTGATCCTGGATCTTCTGCTGCTGGAATTAAGGTAATGTGAGTAACAAGAACTTTTTCACATGTATGCCAAAATTAAATTTTCTTTCTTATCTTGAAATTGATGCCATCCTTTAATTTTAATCTTCTGCTTTATAATTTGTTTCTTTGTTTTAGGGAGAACCTGGACAATCGGGTAGACCAGGGCAAAAGGTAATATATAATTTTGGCTTCCTAGATGTATTTGAACTTTGATTCTCAGAAGTGAAAAGTGACACTGTCCTTTCCAATGAACTGAAATTTTGTTCCACTATATTAAATGGAAAGGTATTTTAAGTAGCAGAGATAAAGTAAGAAGTAGCTTCAAAATACTGTACATATTTTGATTTGTGCAACATTTTCCTGCTATTAAAACAATGTAATATTCTATTGCAATGCAATATAATTGCAGGGTGAACCTGGACTTCCTGGACTTCCTGGGTTACCTGGAATTAAGGTAATTAATATACATATATTATCTATGCTTGTCCTGGCCAGGGGATTCTAGGAGTTGCATCTTAGAAGTTTCTAAGCTTGAAAAACATTGATCCATACAGTTTTATTATAAATATGGGACATGTATAATTAACATGCAGTTTGGACCACTGTTAACATACCTGAAACTTTTTCTTCTGTAAATTAAGATCATCACTTGGTATCAGCCATAGTTGGAGAAGTGAAGGGTAGCTAAGTTTCTTATTTTGTGCAATCTATAGCCATTAAGCTACACACAGCCCTCCCCACTTTCTTTTTTATAACCTATAGAGTTCTGCAAAAGAGTAAGGAAGAAAGAAACCATGCTTAGACATTATAAAAATGATTAAATTTAGTAGTAAAGAAGTTCCTTCCAAGTAGCAGCTCATTTTCAAGGCATCTTCTTTCAGCTGAAAGGTCTACAGTCTTTTCCATTTCGAGGACATTCCTTCTTTTTTTTTCTATTCTTATCAACTAATTTGACATGATCCCTCGGTTCATTAAAATATTTATCCTGGTAAATATGCCATGCAACTTATTCTGCTCCCATATTCTGTCTTGAGTTGTTTATGTTTGTTTTTGAGATAGGCATGACACCTAGCAAGAACATGGACATGTCCCTGTAAATTTCTAGGCAATATTTTTTATAAATAATTTGTATTTGCCTTTTTCCTAAGACTAAGGGAAGCAATTGGCCCAGTTGACTTCCATGCCTAAAATAGGAATAGAAATCAAGTTTATGTGCTTCTGGTCCAGTGTTTTAATCAATAGACCAAACCAGTTCAGTTGGAAGTATCTATTTCATCATAAAGTTGAATAAAAATTGAAAGTTGATCCATTTGGCTTTTGCTAATCTGAATGGTGAGAGAATCATTGGTTTCTATGAGAAAGAAAACAGAAATAAAGCTTAATTTGTGATTATTTTGTGATTAGTATGAGCTTTATAGACATTCTGTATTAAAAACTGAATCAGTAGGACACTTGAAAAATATTTTCACTGTATTTTCCTGAGAAGAGGATGACTTCCCATCCGCTTTGAAAATATTCATATAATTACCCATTAAATAAATATTAAGGTACACCTGTCTGCATTCTTGGCTTTTGAAGATTAAGGCACCGAGGCATCTGAATCCATAAAGAGCACCGATCAAATCAAACTGGATATCTCTTTGTTTTCTCTTTGCTGCTGCATTGCAGTGGAATGCCTTATTGAAATGGAATTACTTGTTTACTTGCCTTCACACGCCATTAAGAACACCAATCTGGATAGGATCTAATTTGCTTTCTGTTTTCTCAGTGAAGTACCTGATGACAGCACACAACTCAAAAACAACCATTACTTTACAATATGCTTTTTATGGTGTGCAAAAGAATGTAACAAGCTTGTGCTGTTTATTTTCAGACAACAACAAAAAAGTCAGTAGACAGAATGGCCAACTCAATGTTACATGTTGAAGTTCTTCAAAATCTTTTGCATAGCTGCTTTAGTAAAATATCAATACATTTTGAAACTATACTTATCCACTGTCATCTTGTATAATTACATTATAATTTGGATGCAATAGTTGGAAAAAGAGTGGAGACCTTCACTTTCTGACTCACAATAGCTCTGTCAAATAGTGCTGTATTTGATTAATATTACAGAACAAGTCAACCTGATGGTTAAATCCATAATGTAGCAAGATTCAGCTGAAGTAAGGAAGTAAAAAGGTAGAAATCTGTTCTTTACTGGAAAAAAAATCACCTGGTTTGTCTAGCTTACTACTAGCTTGTACCTAGAGCTGCCAATACATAAATGCAAAACCTGCATCAAAAATTCCTTTCTTTGTTTCACCCCCTCTGGTTGTAGGGCCCTTCTATCTTTAGTGTAGTGTTTATGGGGGTTGTACTTTCCTATGCAAAGCTAGTATATAGTTGGGAGTCTTCTTGGAATCACAACTCATATTTGAAGAACCAACAGCAGTTGTGGCAATGAGGCCCTTTGCACAAATTCCTGGACTTGAAAGATCTTCTGAGAGTCACTCATGTCATAGTTACCTGTCAATTGGATTATGGAAATGTGCTTTAAGTGGGGTTTCTCTTGAAAATCATTAGTAACTTACAGCTGATCTTGAATGCAGCAGCACAGGCAGTGATGGGTATGTTGTGATATGAGCATGTTCCTCTACTTCTTTTCCAGCTGCACTGGTTGCCATTTGGGTTCTGGGTACAATTCCAGTGCTGCTTATCACCTAAAATGCATTGCATCTTTACAATGCATAATTTGTCCTCATATGGTAGACTCTGGGCAGTGTGTGATGCTCACTTGCAGATCTCGAAAGCTACGTTCTACTGCTTCTGAATTTTTTTTTTGATGTATGGCAGGGTGTGTCATATAGTTGGTCTTTTACCTTTTTTTTCTTTTCTCTCTTTTACTTTTTGCACAGGCATCTTATAATAAATGCTTGTTGGTACCAATATGCTTGAATTGTTCATGTAGGTACCTTTTCTCCAATTGTTTAGCTTTTTGGGTACCACACTGGATTCTTAATCTTCCATATAGTGTTCTGATGCAGTTCTTTTTGTGTGACAGTGGATGGTTAACTGTCTTAGGGATCATTTCTAGATTAAGATATATAATCATATTACCCTTGCCCATTTGATAAGAAGTTGAAGATTTTTTAAATATAACCTGGGGCAGGATATTGATAGCTTAGGTTGTACTTTTCATTAAAAAAACAGTTTCCAATAGAATAAGGAATGATGAGAGATGTTTATTTGGATGTATTTATAGATTTACATAATCATAAATAGTATTTTATGGAAAGTTGGCATCAATGAGTATGGACCGCAGCAGAGTTTGAGATATGGAGGATGAATGAAAATGGAACATGGATGTGATTTTTGATGTACTGGTATTTTGAGTGTGCATATTACATTTCTAAGGTATCAACTGGCTCATGGTATTCTGAAACTGAAGATGTTTTCAAAGGCTCACATTACAGAGTAGTTTTGAACACACAATCCATTTTTATTTCTGATCCTTGAAATCATGATTAAACAGATTAGAGAACAAAGTAACCACTGAGTTGACTTTATGGTATATTAAGTCTGTGAGTACTGAAGAAGTTTGAACCTATCAAATAAATTGCTGAAGGTTTCATTATTCCTTCCATAAGAATGATTACTGTTTCCATTAATGATTAAAAAAACATTACAAGAATACATTTGAAAATCATTGTTTTATACATAATTTGCAATGCATACCATAATTATTTCTTAGCTTACCTCTTTTGGTCTTTTTTTTTGCAGTTTATTTTTTTCAGGGATATACCTATATACCATGTCTGAATATATTTTTCTATTTCTAGCTGTTGAAAAACGTCCATTGTACTCATGTAGAGGAAATGCTTTTCATACTAATTTTATTTATGCAATGCTGTGAACAGCAATAGGTCAGGTTTATATTTTCATTATGTAGTTTAATATAAATGATGAAATCTCTTTTCTTAGTAATGCCAATGATTACATGCACCTAACATTTATTTTAATTAAAAGGGATCTCTTCTTAAAGCATATGTAGTGATGATTGTTTATTTTAATTTATCATATATACTATAGACAAATGAAATTCCTAATTGCTTGGTATTTACATTAAGAAAATAAAAGTAGGGCACTAATTAATTAAACAGGTCTGCACCAGACAGCACTAATACCTGCAGAAGAAAATCAGGATAAGCAGAAAAGATCTTAGAGGTGCAAGAAAACCTAAAAGCTACAAAAAATGGATTGGGATTATGACAATAGTAAAAATAAGATAAAGGACAGACCTCCTGGGAAGATAAAATGCTAAGTGAGTTGAGGGATGGGAAGACAGCTGGGGCTCCTAAACTTCTACTTTGGTTTAGTCTTCTCTCTAAGTGGGAATTCTTGAATGAACTTAATCAAAACAATTGAGAAAAATGAGAGAAGAGCAATTGGAATTAAGAAAAGAAATTACAGGGACTAGTTGGCTACTCTGAAGCTTTGAATGATGTACTAGTAAGAAACCCAGTTGGATCAGAAAGCTTTGAGGACATGTGGTCTGTGTAGCAGTATACAGCAACTAAGCACTGTTTGCTTCAGACAAGCAAGTTCATGAATAAAATCTGTGCAAGAAAGCAGATAACAAACAAACATTTCTAACAGGGAGAAATATTGTTACATGAAACAATCAGGATGGCTGTACTTGAAGAGAAAGTTTTGGAAAAGAATAAATGATGGATTAGAAACCACAATGGTTTCTATGCAACTTGAACTACTGAAGGCATTTTGGTTACAGGCAAGCTCACATAAGACTCCTGTAGTATTTCTGGCTGAAGTCCACAGAAGATAAAAGAGACAGTAAAATTGTGAAAAAATGTCTTCTCAGCCCAGAGGGACTTAGGGAAAGTTTTGGAAAGATATCTACCCCTGACAACCTGAGAGAGAATGGAAACCATTATAATTAACATCGATTATCACTTTTAAATGGAAAGAGAGTGGTAGAAAAAGTTATACATCTAAATGTCCACAAACTTAACTTAGCTATATTGGCACAAGTAACCACATACTACTGCCATATTTTTATTCCTTCACACCAGTGAAGTCCTATATAGTAAATTCCCGGATATATTAGGAATCCTTGTCCAAATACGTTGTTGTTATGTGATTGTTTTACCTGTCCATAGTCTTATGAATGGAATTCTATCAAATACTGTAAACTGAGGGGTGTAATTTGTGAATGTATATCAGGTTTTCATTTCATGAAGTCTTGTGCTATAAAAGCTTCTGGTTCACTTGCTTTTCTTAACTTAGGTGGGGGTTTTCTCAAAGAAATTCTTGCTGATGGAAATCAAACGTGATTAATTGTAACTGTCTGTAGCTATTGGGTTACAGCTAGAAACGTGACTAGGGAAAACATGACTGCAAGGAAACTCATGTTTTCTGTAATTATTCACCATTAAATTAACAAAGTTTTAATATGCTCATTTATTAATAGGGTGAACCGGGTTTCCTCGGTCCCCAGGGAGAACCTGGATTGCCAGGATTGCCAGGGACAAAGGTATGATTTACACTTTTTCCTTATGACGCACAATTTGTTCTGCATCAGATCAGTTGGTGCCTAATCATTAGAACATAGGCATTTCCCTCCACTGCCATTAATGTCTTACTAAAGAGAAAGTTTATCAGACCGAGATCACAATCCAACCCATTACAAAATGTGTAATGTGTGTAAAATAAATTAATTAAATTAAACTGCTATCAACCTTATAGGAAACGATGCAACAGTGATTGCTTTAGATATGTTCTTAATTGTACAGCTGAGACTTCCTCTCATTCTTCTTTTTATAAAGAGGGTCAGCATTGCCTAAAGCTGCTTTCATTCTGTGAAACCAATTTGAGCCCTCAACACCAAAAACTGAAACCAATAAATGGACAATTAAATATGGGAAACATTATCTGTTTTGTCTCTTTTTCCCACCTGAAATTATTCCTATTTTATCCATTGCGTTCAGGGATTATTTACTTCTGGCAAATCAAAAGGGGAGAAAAAGCACATACAATGGTATTTTAATCTATTTACACTCCCCTCTCCTAAACAGGTCTGGTACTAATGTATGTATGGATCAATTGCCAATTTGACATACTCTTTGATATTACTTCTCTGATGCTACAACAGAAACTCTCATCAATACCAAAAGTTACTGATGTTCTATGATGCTTCTCTGTGTATCTGCTATGATTTTTAACAGGGTGAGAGAGGAGAAATAGGACCTCCTGGGAAAGGTGAACGAGGTGAGCCTGGAGTTCCAGGGCCAAAGGTCAGTTTCACTTTGAAATATTTAATGTGCCTTTGAGAACTCTTGTGTTTAGTATTTTCTTTAAAGACATCCTTTGTTTTGGGATATTAAACAGAACTAGAAAAATCTATTTCATTGTGATTGAACATGTAGTCCAAGTGATTTAAATGCATGCCATTCACTTTTTCTGCATAGTCCAGTGAAACTTAATTAAACAAATGGAGAAGTTTCATATTAATAATCAAAAACTGCCACTATGCAAATATTATTTATATACTCAAACTTAATTAAAGTGCTTTAGGCATAACAAATATAATAAAAGTATAACAAAATTCTGATTTCTAACTATATGGGTAGAATGGCCATAGAGGCAACTTTAAACGCATTTCATCATTTAAAGTAGAATTTTCAAAATTCTGTATGGTTAGTGTCCAAGACAGACAGAGAAGGAAGGAAGGGAGGGAGGCAGGGAGGAAGGAAAGACTTTTAAAATCAGACTTTGTAGTGCAACTCAATTGAATTTTCTAGATTTTCATTAGAATTTCATTTAAAACCTGTGCGTAATAATGTCCTGCTTATGTGAAATGATCATACATCATAGATAAGACCTAAGATGGGTGGTTATATAAATATTTTATAAATAAATAAATAAATAAGATGCTTTGGCATTATCTTAACGACAAAACTGTAGTGAAAAAAGAATCTGCTGAATTGTGCTCATCTTCTAGTGACTGCATGGATATTTCCATGCAACCTTCTGGGCAACAATATGGAAGTAGTCTGTCATTACTTTCTTTCAGGATGATTTTCCAATTCCCCATTCATCTGATAAGACTTGGAATTAATGGTGATCTGCTATCTAACTAGTAAACAGACCCAACCCTGTCTAGGTGTTTTGTTATTGTTATTATTGTTTAGATTATTATTATTATTAGATTAGCCAAAGTAAAGGCAAGGTGCGGGGATGTAATAGGTACAAGGCTTTCAGCAGGATTTTCCCATTTCATCAGAATGATACAAGTTCCTCTCGTTTTGTACATGAATATGAAGTCACAACCTGTGAACACAAGGAACAGAGCTTGCATTGTATCAACACAATGCTGTTTTCAGCATTTGTTCCCTTTGACCTCATCAAGCCAAAAGCTTTTGACTAGGTGTCAAATTCTGTGTGCTTCAATGAATTCTTCCCAGCGTTTTAACAAGAAAATCAGATTGTGGGACTATTTTAATTTTAAAAGGAATAGGAACAGAAAATGGAGACTTAACAAATATGATTTCATACAGCATAGCTAAACATTTTACGAAATACTTCACGTTGTCTTTTTATTTGATTTCTATTATTTGTGACATTTGTTTCTATAATTGTGCACAACTGTGTATATAAGCTTCTTGATTCCAGTACATTCAGAAATTCTATTGATATTTTTATTAATCTTTTGCATGATCTGGAAGAAGGTCACTTTTTAAAAGAACATAATTTAGTGATGGAAAAGAGCCCTTAACTCTTGCCAGAGGTGAATTCTCATTTCTAAGGCACTATAGAAAAGAAAATGATTGAATCAAACAAATATTTTCAGCTTACAAATTGTATATCTTACATTTTCATTTAGAAGTCATAGGATGTTTTTCAGGGAATTGGGGAAATAATATTTCCTGGAACATGTACAAAACATTTCTAGATTTTCTTCTACTAATCCTCTTGTGTTAAATCATCATAACATGCATGATTACTTAACTTTCTTATATATACATTTGTGTCTATAGTATAACTTTATAATAGCAACTGTTTTAATATGCTTAGTTTCCACTACATATTTACTTCCTATGGACAAAACTAATTCTTCATATTTCTCTTTTTACTTTTTCTGTCTCGACTTCATTTTGTATGTATTCCAATACACAGGGGAGGTCAGGTGAATCTGGAACTAGAGGCCCTAAAGGGTCAAAGGTCAGTTATTAGCAACATCTGGTTTTATTGGTTAAATACACTAAACCAACACAGTTATTTGTTTACTGCCATTTTTGCATGTATGAATTCTATATGTGGATGGGGTGTTATGTACGGTAAGTACATGTCATTATCTTTTATTTTGGTAGAGTGTTCAAAGACTATCAATTTAAAAAGTAATAAAATTATTTTCAGTAACTGTATATATAAGTGTATGTAGTTTTTATTCCCCAGTTAACCCCCCTTTCAGTTCTTTCTGAGTTCTTTGCTATATAAGGTCCACTCTTTTTTCCCCAATTCGTTGATTAGTACCACATTTTAGTGCAGTATTTAGGTTCACACTAAAATTAAATAAGACATTACATACTATTTGACATTAGACATTAAGACTAGCAGTTATAGGCAGAGCATGCTCTGAATGAAAAATGAAAATTTTAGAAGTATGGAATTTAATTTAATCATTTTTGACCCAAGGCAATTTCTGATAATTCTGAAGGCAATTTTTTTCAGGAAGCCAGGGTTCTGTTCCCCCCCAAAAAAGATGCTTCTGGTACCATTAGATAAAGGGCAGCTTTCTCTGATTATTTGAATTTCAAACTTGGGAAGAAATCTCCAGGTTTCCATTGTGCTTGGAAATAACTGGCTGTTGGCATTTTTCTAAAAGAGATGCAAAATCCTTATTTAACAATTATATATCTGGTAAATTAGTAAAAGTTTGAGGTAATCTTTGAATTTATCTCCATAGATAATGCATTGAAAAAGTCAATTATCATCATAAACATGGAAATTCAATTTTTTTCTGGAAATTTGTATATCACATCAGAACCTGGTGACTATAGAGTTATTATATGTTACATAATGAACAATTTTCTGAATTGGCCTTGCACTTTCAAACTGATGGTTGCAACTTTCTTGACAGGAAAGTATACAAAGAACTTCTTTTTTTTCAATTTGCCTTCTGATGTCTTCTGGATATGTGGAATTTTAATTTTTAGACAACAGTCCAGACTACAGTTGGTTGTGAATTCTAAGTATTGTAGATATGTGGGAAGCTCCAAACTGGAGGAAATGCTTTGAGATATTCATTAAGTCTAATCCTAACTTTTAACACTTCTGACCTTTTAATTGTTATGAGTATAAGCAATGTTTATTGTTAAAGAGTTTTAGAACATAGATTAACATAAAATGACAGGGTTGGAAGGGCTTTAGAGGTCTTTTTCTACAACTCCCTGATCAAACAGAAGTACAAATGTTGTCCGATCTCTTCTTGAAAACTTCCAATGATGAAACACACACAACTTCTGGAGGCAAGCCATTCCACTGATTAATTATTCTGTCAGGAAATTTCTCCTCAGTTTCAGGTTGGGTTTCTCTTTAATGATCTTCCACCAGTGGCTTCTTGTCCTGCCCTCAAGTGCTTTGGAGAATAGGTTGGTCTCCTCTTTTCTGTAAGAGCCCCTCAAATACTAGAAGACAGCTATAATGTCATTCTTGTCTTTCTTAAGGATGTGTGATGGCTCAGGAATTAAAGACTCCGAATCAAATGATGGAATGAGCGCCTGTTATTTGCCCCACCTCCTACTAACCTCCTGTAATTCAAAAGCATACAAATGCAAGTAGATAAATAGATACTACTTTGGTGGGAAGGTAATATTCTGTGCACCTCCACGTATAATTATGCTGGCCACATGACCATGGATGTGTCTTCAGACAACACTGGCTCCCCTGGCTAAGAAAGGGAGATGAGTACCACCCCCTAGAGTTGAACACAACTGGACAGGGCAAATCTTTACCTTTACCTTTTGTCTTCATTAGACTAGACATACCTAGTTCCTACAATTATAGCTTGTATGGTTTAGCCTCCAGCTCTCTTATCATCTTTGTTGCTCTTCTCTATACCTTTCCTTCCTTGCTTGCTTGCTTGCTTGCTTTGTGTTACAGTATTTTAAGCATACATTGTATGAACTATTTTGTCTATGCCAATTTTCTTCTTGAGACAAATCAAGTAATTTATTTTGATTGAAGGAGAGACTTAAATCTGATTTTCACAATTAATATGACCCTTCTTTCCAATGTAGTTGAGAATCTTTTAAATGTAATTTATACCTATACAAGTCAGGATTTTTTTTATTCTGAAATACAACCATTGTTTAATAACACAGTTAAGAAAAACTTTCAGCAGAAATAAAATTTTCCCCATATGATTATGAGCATCATTGTTCTCTTGGAAGTAGTTTAGATTTCCTTTTATGGAGCCTTGACTCTTGCTTTATTCTGACTGAAGAAACTTGACGTGAACATTTTGGCTGTAAATTCCAAGTAAAGTATAAGAAGAAATTCCAAAGTGTATAAGATTATGGTCTGCCCAGCCCAATCATTTTTGATTAACATTTGTGTTGGACAAGAACTTAAGAAATGAGAAGCTTTGGACACATTACAGTACTCTTTCATATATATATATTTGCATTGCATCCTATAGCAGGGTAATTTATTTCTTCATCTTTTATGTCTATTGAAGTCAGTTCCTTTACAGATAGGAGTGTCTGTGCAAATGCAAAATACTGAAATATTTTTGCTATTATACTTTATTAATTAATTTGTTGTATTATTATTTGTTTAAAACATTAACATATAATTTGGCTTGAAGAGCTCTTTATGTATTTGCTCCTCACCTCAAAGGTGGGGAAAATGATTTCCTTACCTGCTGCTGGGAATAAAATTATTTCTAGTATGTCCCAATGAACACAATCACCTACTTATCCCTGTGCTTGCCAGCTAACTTCCCAGTGAATATTCCTTCTGTCTTGATTCTCAAACTGTGTTGCTCAGAGCAGTTTGCAATATTATGGTTATGGCTTGACCAATGCAGAATTGAGAAGAATAGAATACACCATTTTCTAGATCTTAAACACAATTCGTTCTTGATGCATCTATAATTGAATTTGCTTTCTCTTCTGTTGCATTACCACATTGTTGGTTCCTGTTCATCTTGGATACTGTAAGGCACCTGGATCCTTTTGGCAAGTACTGCTATACTTGCAAGTATTGCAGTTACTGCACAACAAGTCCATCTAGTCAAGCCTTTGGTTATTCCTATTCAAGTGCAGAACTTTACATTTGTCCCTGTTAGGATCATGTTGCTGATTTTTCCAGCAGATTTTTCTCAACCAGTTCTTTCATTCCATGTTATCTTTTTCTCCATAGGAAGATTAGAATAATTATAATTAATTCATAGTCCCCGTTTGATAAACAAGTTTGATTTTTACCTACTATTACAAAAGCAGCATCCTCCTTGCCATGTGCCCTAGCCTAAAAAAGCTATTTCTTTCTCTCCCATTCATCCCCAGTTATAAAATATCTGCTCTGCAGCCATCATTGGAGCTCTTGAGGAAAACAGCTACCACAATATTACAGCCATGCCATCTTCAGAGCTTTATTGAGAATTTATATGTAAGAAAAATGCCATCTCCTCATACCAATCTCTTGTAATTATTGCATAGTGATCAAATGTGTTCAAAATTTATTGAAAACAGGAGAGGCTATTCCCCTGTTTTGTTTAGAAGGAGTGAGGAAGTGAGAGGCCTTTTGGTTATTCCCTGGAGCAAAGCATTTACTACATTATTACTTTGCATTCTTCATTGATTAGGCTGTTGCATGGACTCATTCCTGGTCTTTTCTCAATGCTTTCATCTTGTAAAGAATGAAGATAATTTTGGCATCCACTTCAAAATTCTGTGGAAGAATTGGAAGGTTTTGGTGACTTTAGTTTTCTACTGGAACAGCAAACTTAAAATATTGATGTTTATTCTTTCCCCCCCTGCTAGGGTGATCCAGGAAATAATGGTGATTTGGGAGCAATGGGACCAAGGGTAAGTGAGTTGAAATATGTTATTTAATTGATAATATACAAAATGGCTCTCCTGAGGCAAAGGGATTCAATCAATATTTTTAAGTCTGATTATATAATCTATATCAGTGTATCTCAATGTTAGTAGATGTGTGGATTTCAACTCCCAGAATTGCTCAGTCATTATACTTTGCTTTATACAATGCTTTTCAACCAACACATAAATCATTCATTAACATATAGCACATAGATATACCGATTCTCACAAGTTGTGTACTATTATTAATAATTTATTAAATGAATGTCTGACTCTAAATGATTTAGTGTATGTTTTCAAACATAGCACCTACTACAATTTACACATCTACAACTTTGTGCGTTAAATAACTGATATATGAAACTAAGTCGCATATGCATACTCACAGACTATAAAATGGATTGGAGATTTTTCTCTCAAAAAACAAGAAAAAAGAAATGGTGAATAGATATAACTTGAGTTGTATTCTACAGTTTGGAAAAGGTAATATTGACGTGAATGGGATTAGGTTTAACAAGTGTTAATAGTCCAAAAAATATCAATATTCTGTGTTTTGCTGATGACACTATAGCTGTGAAAATACACAGCAGTTGAAACAATCCACTTTGTTGCTGGTGATTCTCTTTTTCTCTCTTTTCATCTTTCCCAGCATTATAGATTTCTCAAGAATTCATTAAAAGTATATTATACCAATGACAAGGAACTCATTGTAAATATACATCAGACTAAGTTAATGACAACAAGTACAGCAACCATATTTAAAGCTGGCAATAAAGACATTGAAGTAGTTGATGTCTACTCTTTTGGATAGACAAAAATGAAATCAGTTGTCAAAAAACAGTTTGAACACATTGTGCAAAGACCCAATCTCTGCTGGGAGAAAGAAAATTTTCCCCAATCTCTGTGAGCCTCTCCTTAATTCTAAATTAAGAAATAGTGGAATTAAGAATATATTAATGTTGACATATACCAGTGGAGCGAAGTTACTGTAATTAGTTATTCTTGCAAAATGAGCCTGGGAAAATGAAATTGTTTTTACTGCATTCATCGATACAATTTGTCATGTGGGGCTTGTGACAAATATGACACGTTGGTACATTTCCAGTGTTTTTTTATAGGGTCCACCTGGAGAAAAAGGTGACCAAGGTGCCACAGAAATCATTGACTTCAATGGAAATATCCATGAAGCATTACAGGTTTGTGATCAATACACAATAAATATAAGGTGCTGTTGTTCATATAGTATCAGTATAACTGAGTAATAAAGCATAAACTTTACATGTATATGATCCCTGTTTTCATTCCACCATAACAGAACTTGGAAATAAGTTAATTGTAAAATAGTGTGATTTAATGGGTAAAAGACAGTTTCATTTATTTTTAGAAAATACCATGTGCAATGATTATCTGGAACAAATTATCCCTAATTTGTTGTTCCTCGGAATGTACATCAACATTTACATTTTCTAGGTAGCATTGCTTTTAGTTCTATTGGCTGGGAGTTCTAGTTCCAGTTTTTAGGAAGGTACCAAATTGGGGAAGCCTGGTCTGGAATCTTAATTAACAGATAACAGATAATCAGAGTTGGCATTCTTCCATAATAGCATTAGGTAAAAGATTGCTTTTGATCTTCAGATCTTTGCTTGCAATTTATGGTTAATAAGATGCTAGAATATATTTCAATATTAAATATTTGCACTGAGTTAATTCAAAATGCCGTAACAGGGAGCAGTAGCTAATTAACCATATATTCGTTTGGGAGAAGCTAGGTTTGGGTCAGATTTGGTTAGTATTTAGATGGCAAAAAACCAAGAAATTCTAGGGTTATAAACTAGACTGGGAAGTTGAAAAAATAAACCAAAATATTTCACAAAAATGTATATTTCAAATGAAGTTATTTTAATATAGGACAAAGAGCTACCTGGGACAATTAGTTGTAAATAATTTTATTCTGGCTGCTTATTGTTACTTTTACCCATAATTAGGTAATGGACAGGATTGTCTTGTGTAAATTAGATTTCTTGTAAATGTTTTCTGAAAAGATATTGCTATTAATTATTATGTCCAAAGTTGTCTTCTTTTTTAAAGTCAATTTGACGTAACTGAAATCACGATATAGCCATATAGCCACTATATTGCTGGAATTTAACTCATAACACTTGTTGTTTAGGTTATATGAAGACTTAAGAACTAGCTAAAGTGTAATATTTGTAGAAAACACATATGCTAAATATGAGAAATGATTAGAATACTCCATATACTGTATAAATGTCCAGTCCAGTTTCTAGTCCCTCAGAATAATCAAAGATTCTTCATGAAATTAAGTTCTTTAATCTAGGTATCACTTGAGGGATTGTGGATATGAAATAACAATGATTCTTACAATTTAGTCATGTATCTATCTACTCAGAAAACTGTCTCATTATAGAGACATATGTTTGCAAACTGAGTTATTTTTTGCCAATATAAGATTCATCCTTATCCCTTTTCAAGGATTTTTTCAAAGAACCTAAAAATAAATGCTTCTATTGGTGATCAAATATATAACTATAAATAGGATTTTCATCCAAAATATAGGGAATTCATGTACGCCATCTATATAAGGGAGATAACTTTTTATTTATATTAATTGTTTAGACAAAGTTATAAATTATTAAATCTAAGCATTTAATCCACTTTAAATTTAAAGTAAATTTAAAATACTTTTTCCTAAATACTAAAACCAGTTCTGCACATCTTTTGGAAGTCACACAAGTTCTTTTATTCGAAAAACATATGTTGTGGTCAAATATAAAGAAATATTTCTTTTTAGTTAAATTTTGTTCATAATTCTTTTATTTATTTGTATTTTATTTGATCTTGCTCTATTGAGATGATTATTATTTTATATATTTCAGTACTGTACAGTTTATTCATATAAATTAATTTCATCAAGTTTAAGTCACACATCATTAAATATAAATAATTATAGTCACCTAATGATTTATAATTCCACAGATGCATATACATTCGTTCAAGACCATTATTTGTGAGTTTACAAAAATTAATCTTAAAATAATTATAATAGGAAATTGACAGTACTGTTTCTTTTTGAAAGCAAACGAAGTAATTAATAGTAAATACTCAATAAGTAGATGGATTGTTACATATAGATACTTAGATGTAAAGATGTAAAATGGTACGTAGACAATTTTTTATTTTTGGGGAGCTAGTTAGATGCTTGTCTCAAACTTTCCTAAATTCTGTGAAATCTGTTCTTAAACAAGCAAAGTATTCTGTTTCAAACTGAACATCTGGTAACATTATTTTCTGCTAATATATTTTGCCAACAGAGGATTACCACCTTAACTGTCACGGTAATTCCTACTGCATGACAGTGTTTTGTAGCTGTTTTCTTGTGTGGTGTTGCATGTTTACATTTATTCTGATTTATAAATGTGTCTTTGTCCATCAGATATTAACTTTGCATTATCACCACTTCTACTTTCTAAATCAGGTACATCGGTGGATGCATTGTGGAAAGTTAGGACTCTAGTTTTACTACTTATGGCAATTAATAGCTGCAGTATGGCCATTTCAGCAAAAAAGTAGGGATTCAAGCTTTCATTAGCATCCTAAGATCTTTTTAAACATGTTTATTTAAACCAGCCATTGGTGTAATTTTCAGTGGAAATTTTAAAATGCAATAACTTAAAAGGGGGTTGGTTTTTCCTATAACTTACTTTTCTTAATTATTTTTAATCATATTGGTTGTGTTAGAAGATACAGCACATGTTTGCTTCAAAATGGTATTTTTTTCATTCAGTGCAACTGATATGAATTTAATTGCCATAATAAGTAATTTTTGAACAGAGTCACTAGAAATTTCAATGCAACCACTGTCCATTAAAAATATTCCTTTTCTATTCAAAATCAAATAATGACTAAAAGGGAATATTTGTATTATTTAAAAATGTGTAAAATAATATTAACTGAAATTGCAACTAAGTAATTGAAAACATCGCTGACCCTCTATTTTTATACTTTTCTATCGGCCTTCTTCACCTCTACTTTCATTAACTATCAGGTAAAATGAGTTGATATTAAAGTCAGCCAAATCTAGATAAACAATGATATTTCCAGGAAATAAAAAAGCCAGTTTAGTATACTGACTAAGGTGCTGAACTAGAAAACTGGGAAATCATGAATTCTAGTCATCCTTAGGTATGAAGTCTGGGTGACTTCTGGATTCTTTCAGCCTAACTCCCCTTAAAGACTTGTAATGAAAGAGAAAGTGGGAGTATTATCTACAACACCTAGAGTTGTACAAAATAAATGCAGGTTATTGTTATTATTATGATAATGATAATATTTTAATGGGTTATGGCTTTTATAATTCATGTAAGATAATTAGGTATTAGTAGTATTTCAATGAAACTTTTGCTTTATTTTATTTATTATAGATCAAAGTTTTTATATAAATAGATTTTTATTATTTCATTGTTGTATAGCACTCCGCATGAAATGCTAATTAGTATTGAAAGGAAAAAAAAGGAACCTAAATGACAGCTTGTATTATTGATTTACTGTAGACTTACATTAAATTGTGGGGCTTAAGGTCTCAAAGGCAATTCTTATTCTTCTAGTCTCTAGTGCTTATCGCATAGCAGAGTAGAGAAGATCTCTGACTAAAATCATGTAGAGCAAAGATTGACAGCATCAAAGCCTGCATGCCCCAACTTTACCCCAAATATCTCTAATTGTTGCAATCAGGTTTGCATTAAAAAAAAAAAAACCCAAGCTAGATCTTTGTCTTGTCCTTTCTATTTTTAGGAGTTTAGCTCCCTGGTGATGCCACTCATTCCAGCTCTTGGAGGAAATTGAGGTGTATGACTTTTTAAAGATAAAAACATAAATAAAATAAATTTTAAGGATGACCCCTTTGAGTAGATCCTATTAAAAGTCTATAAAGAGTGGGCAATTTGTTTTTCAGTTATACCCTGGAAACCAATAATGACCACTAATTACCAACCAGACCATATTTTATCCTACTATAAGGCAGTCAAATAACCAAACTTTTTCTAATGGAACTCCATGCAGATTTGTTTTATCCAAGACTTATTTACAAGATTTACAGTTACACAAGTTTATTAATTAGAAGTATGCAGAGAGGAGGGCAATAGTCTTGTAGTTTTCCTCTCCCAGTACTTTCTGGATAATTTTCTGGTACTAGGGAGTCAGTCATTTCTGAAATGAGATTATAGTCTTCTCAACTGGGATTCCATGAGTCCCTAAGCTCCACCAAAGGTCTGCAAGAGATCATGATTGAAAAAAAGATAAATATTTTTTTAACATTGCATGCCATGTAATTCTAGTGCTCATAGTTACTGGAATTTTTATGTGCCGGGATTCAGCTGCTGGGCTGTTGCTTTGCTAGTGTTGTACATGTTGTAAAGCATTGTATAGGTTTCATATTTTTGGTGGTTTTTATTCAGGGGTAATCTGAAACCTGAATATTATTTCAAAGGTTCCTCCAGGGCAAAAAGTTGAGAAAGGCTGTTTTAATCTGAGCCAGGCATGATTTGTCATACATATCCTAACCCCACTATTTTTTGTGTGTCCTTTGATCATGTCAGCTGCTTATTTAATCCATAGAATTGATACATTCTTAATAATTCTTAGATACCATAGTATAAACCATATCAGATTTAACCCGATCCTTACCTTGTCTTGATCTCTTTGGCAAGGTTGTAAATGAAAATTAATGTACTTTTTTTAAAAAAATCATGCTAACAGTCAGATTTTCCTATTCTCCTGCAAAAAGGAACATAAAAATAAAATCCTAGAAGCCTTGAAAATTAATTCTAATTAATTCTTCCTGCAGGCATTATGTTAAGTAGTATATATTACAGGATGGCTTGTCTTTAACTGGGAATAGGCAGCCTTTTAAATGGCCATACCTATCTAGGGATCAAGTAAATTGTCTGCTATACTACAATCAGATTGCATGTCTTGTCTACCAAAAGTGTTTAGTTTGTTAGGGTCAGATTTCATCACTGCTGTTTAATAATGTCATTCTGATATTTAATTGCACACATTTTGTCTGTCTATTTGTATATGGTCATCAATTGTCATTGATGTTGTTAGTCCTTGACTGTTTTTAATGCAGTTTTCTTGTTGTGATGCTTATTTTGCATAACAGAATATGTTTCAGAAACAAGTTTGATGAATATATGTGAATACTGCAATAGTGAATTAATTTTATATTTAGGGTCCTCCAGGCCCACCTGGACCCCAAGGATTGCAAGGATCAAAGGTGAGCATATCAACTGTATTTGTGTAATTATCAGTACAAAGCAGTATGTATTTGGTATAATTAATAATGACATGTGAAGTCTGTACTACTGTGTGCTTTGAAGATCTTACAAGACACTAAGATGATTCAAATAAAAAATATTTAATTCAACAATAACAAATTATTGCATACCTGCTAAGTTTGTTCAACAAATTTAACAGAATGGTAATTTAATTTTCTTATATTATTATTGAAGTGATTTGAAATAATTTTAAATACCAAGCATTTGTAAAGCAAGATTCTTCAGTCAATTATGCATGGGAATACTATTTATGGAAGAATTTCTTGGTGTCCCAAAGAATATAGATCTATCCATTTATTCCTGGCTTTTGTGAAGCATTAGAGAGAGAAACTTTGTTGAACCAGACCAGGAGTCACCAGTGATGATGATGATGATGATGATGATTCACATGGTCAGCCAGATGTTCAGACTGGGTTTGGCATTTTTGTCTACCTCTCAAGTCCTTACCAAGGACCTGGGATAGGCAAATCTGGATGTTTGATGGCGTTACAGATATTGTTGCAGGATAGAAGCAGTTCCAAGTAAAGCCGCTTTCTGCAATTGATTGATGGCAAATTTTTCAATGCCGATGGTGTTCAAGTGGTGTTCCAGTTGGCTTGGGACTGCACCCAAGGCACCTATTACTATTGGTACTACCCTTGCTTGCCTTTCTCTATAGTCATTCTATTTCTATTTGTAGGACTTTGTATTTTGTTATTTTCTCCAGTTCTTTCTCTTCTATTCTGCTGTCATATCCACTTCCCAGACTTGTTTGTCTTTGTTATTGACAACTGATTATTGTTGTTGTTGTTGTTTGTTTCAAGAAAACATATTTTGGAAGTGAATCAGAATTTCTAGATCAAACTAAATGGCAAATATTGATTGGTTCAAAAATTGATGTAGGTGCCAGGCTTCCGGTTTGAGTCTCTTCGGCAACAGACCGAAATCCGTGATCGTGCGTGGTTTCGATCTGTGCTCGCCGCCGGAGCGCCCCGAGCCAGCTGGTTTCAGGGCTAAGCCATCCCGTAGAGGTGGTGAAGAGTGGGGAGACTGACAGCAGGGTCAAGGAGAACCACATCTCTCTTCCCCAGCTGGCCATTACTCCCTTTCCCGAAGGCGGTTGCAGCAGTGATCAGAAACGGCCACCTCAAAGAAGAACTGAACTGGAAAAGAATGTGTAGGAGGAAGATAAGAAGAGAAAGTTTTGGTCGACTGGGTTAAACTGAAAAAGCAAAAACATAAGGTACCCTGGAATTTAAACTAAATACCATTGTTCCCAAGAAGATTTTGAAGCAGCGAAGGAAAGAAAAAGGGGAAAGGATTAGGGTTTTTTTTTCTTCCCTTTTATATACTGACAGCTAAGAGACTTGAGCAAGAAATTGAAAAAAAAAATCCACTTTGACATTAATAGGCATTTAAGCTGAAAATAAAAGTCAAAGGGATAATAAAGATTTCTGGATATTTAAAAGTTTTTAAAAGCAGAAAAGGAGAAAAAAAAAAGAATAAAAGGGTAGGATCTGGAAAAACAGAGGAGACTGCCTGGAACTAAGGAATGGAACTGTAACTAAAAGGAACTTACAGTGAAACTTTAACAAGATTCCCCAAAGATACATCCTAACTGAAACTTGCAACAAAATAATAGAACCCCAGGAAGAGAAAGTGAAAAAAGAAGCAAGAAGAAACAGCCTTGGGTTATTTGGATTACTTGGTGATTTTTGGTTTTTGCATATAAATGACTAAAACTAATCGGTTGGTTGTTTAAAAGTGTTTAAAATGGCATCAATCTTAGAAGAACTGAAAATGGAACTTAAAAACTGGAAAGAAGATGCACAAGAAGGAAGAGGTTCTTTTGGCTTTGTATTTCAGTTCTTAGAAATGGAGATCTGGAACTATGAGAAACAACAAGAAACGCTTGCAGAACAAGAAGATCGGGACAAAGATGAAGCCATCTTTAATGATCAAATAATTTTAAGTGGGGGGGGGAAGGAAAGGGGGGAAAGAGAGTGAAAGGTTTAAGACTAGAAAAAACAACCCAAAAGAGGAAGAGTTTGAAAGATAAGTATAATATTAGAAAGCAACAGAAGAGGGGATTACAGAATTAGAAGTAGAGAGACGAGGGGTAAAAAGGGGAGGGAGAAGAAGAGGTAAGGAAAAGAAGTTGTAAAAGACAGAAACAAGATATAGAGAAACAGGGAAAAGATATAAGGATTGAAACCATAAGCCTGTTTAGAAATAATGGGTGAAAATTTAATTGTAAAAGGGATTCTGCAAAGGTACATAAGATAGCATTGTTATATTACAAATATAAATAATTTTAGAAAATATGACTAAAATGATGGATAAAATATTCACTGTAATGTAGTGGAATGTTTGTTAATAAATAAATGCATTAAAGTGAATGAGATAATTAAATTAGGAAAGGATGGGAACATTTTAATTATTATTAATGATTTATAAAAATGTAAGTGAGAAATATGGGGAAAAAAGGATTAATTGTAGAAAGTTTATGTGTTCCCAAGGAAGTATGATATTTAATTGAAAAGAAATGTTAAAGATGTTAAGATTTTAATGAATATTAATGATAGAATTGAATTGGAATGGAATGTGTGATTTATTTACACACACACACACACATATATATATAATCTTTTCTTTTTAAGAATATAATGTGTATTTTAAGAATGTACCAAGCAGAATTCGATTGGAAGTTATGTATTACATTGAATGCTATAATCTTAAAGGGTATACATTGAAGCTTGAATAAGAGTTTGAATGGATAAAATTAAAAGATATAAAGGTGGCATACTCCAATTAGTAACTACAAGGGGAAATTTGTTTAATAAGAAAAAATAATATGAAATTGCAACAGGACAGACAAAAGTATAAATATAATGATTTGAATTGAGATGAGATAATTAAAATAAAGTTGAGAAAATTAAAAGAGGGGAAAACCTATGTAGAAAATATAAAACAGTAATAAGATATGGAATAGAACATAAAAATGAGCATGAAATTGAGTTTGTGTCTCTATGAAGAAGTGATAACCTGGGACCATGCTATTTCCAAAAAAAGATGTTTTATTTGTATTTTGTTTTTGTGAAAACCCAAATAAAATTTTCAAAAAAAAATTGAAGTAGGTGCCTCTGATTTCTTCCTTGTAGGAAGAAGCAAGAAGGAGAAAGCACATTGATCAAGCAAACTTATTTATTTAGTATTAAACTACATTATAATCCAGATATAATTACCACCGTGGAATTAAGTTGGAGTTGGATTTTATTTTGCAGGGTGAATCTGGATCACCAGGATTACCTGGTGCTGATGGAGAGCAGGTACTTGAACATTTTTATGATATTACTATTGATAAAGGAATATGATATAATATTGGTTCACTAAAAATTGAATATTTATTTATTTATTTAAGACAACTGGTATAAGTATAAACATAGTTATGAATACATGAAATGGATACATATAGGAAAAATAAAAAGAAACAATAGGACAGGGACGGTAGACACGTTGGGGCGCTTATACACGCCCCCTACAGACCTCTTAAGAAAGGGGTGAGGTCAATAGTAGACAGTCTAAAGGTTAAAGTTTTTGGGGTTTGGGGAAGAAACCACAGAGACAGGTAGAGTATCCCAGACATTGACCACTCTGTTGCTGAAGTCGTATTTCCTGCAATCAAGTTTGGTATGGTTTACCTTGAGTTTGTATCTATTGTATGCTCTTGTATTGTTATGGTTGAAGCTGAAGTATTCATTGACAGGTAGGACATTGCAATGTATGATTTTATATACTATACTTAGATTGGACTGAAGGCGGCGTAGTTCTAGGTTTTCTAGGTCTAGAATTTCAAGTCTGGTGGCATAAGGTATTCTGCAATGAGTAGAGGAGTGGAGAACTTTTCTTGTGAAATATTTCTGGACTTTCTCAACTGTGTTAATATCAGATACGTAATGTGGGTTCCAGACTGATGAGCTGCATTCAAGTATTGGTCTAGCAAATGTTTTGTATGCTCTAGTTAGTAGTGTGATATTACCAGAGAAAAAGCTATGTCGGATTAGGTTAACAATTCTTAATGCCTTTTTGGCTATGTAGTTACAGTGGGCTCTAGCACTTAGATCATTAGAGATGAGTACTCCAAGGTCCTTGACAGAGTTTGGATCATCAACAAGGTCTTGACTATTCAGCTTGTATTTTATTTTCTGATTTATTTTGCCAATATGTAAGACAGAGCATTTATTTGTTGAGATTTGAAGTTGCCATTTGTTTGACCATTCTGATACATAGTTGAGGTCTTTTTGAAGGGTAGCAGTATTATCTGTGGTGTTGAATAGCTTTACATCATCAGCGAAGAGAATGCAGTTACTCTTAATATGATCACAGAGATCTACTGTAGTGATACCACTGAAATGTACCACTACAGTACCACTGAATCAAAGGCTTTACAGAAGTCTATGTAGATTGCATCTATTGCTTTGCCCTGATCGAGCTATATAGTCCATATGTTTTTGCAGTGTAAGAGTTGCAGATTACAGGATAGTTTTTTTCTGAAACCAAATTGTTTATTAGAGAGTAGGCTGTTTGTCTCTAATATAGTATAATATAAAAGAAGAGAGGGAGGGAGGAGAGAGGAAGAAGGAAATATTTTGCTGCAGAACATTTTCCCTATCTTTGAAGAATAAAAAATACTACTAGATATTAATGTAATTACACTTTCTATTTCTGAAGTTAATACAGCTCAAATTGATGCACATTGTTAGTTTAATGTGTACATTGTTAGTTCATTGTCATAAATATGCCATTTCAGGGGCCCAAAGGATCAAAGGGTGATCTGGGTGACCCTGGAATACCAGGAGAAAAAGGAGGTATTGGACTACCAGGTTTGCCAGTAAGTTTGTTTAAAATTATATTTGATTGCCTCATTTCTCACTACTTCTTCAGTATCTTTTTCTCAAAGACAATCATTCATACTTCAGAACATGTTACTTGATACTATTGAAAAAGATTTACATAAAGGAAGGGCAACAATGGAAGACAGGGACAAAAGAGTAGTAGTTTTAATTAATTTCAGATTAGTGGAACCAAAAAAATGACAGCTTTGAGGGAAGCTTTGAAAGAAGAGAAGAAATAGCCATTTTTTGTGGAAGGAATTCCAAGTGTATGGTCAGTGTAAATGCACTGAACATTTAAATGTACTGAACCTACATGTGCTTGTATGTGTGTAAATAAAAATCATGAAGGTATAGAAATAATCATTGTTGGTTTATCTTCCTTTGGAAACATTTAAATCAACTACTTTGATGGTAAACCAGTTAATTGTGTTTTAACTCCAAGATGTGACAAAGCTAACTAGCAAAATTGCAAATAAATATGTTAATCAAACTTAGTGGGAGATGAACTGATAAAACAGTATGTACTGTATAACAGAATATTTAAAGTATTCTCTGACTCTCTGACTCTGTCTCCCTGTCTCTGTCTCTCTCTCTCTCTGTCTTTCTATCTCGTCTCTCTCTCTCTCTGTCTCCCTCTCTCCCTCTCTCTCTCTCTCTCTCTTTCTCTCTTCCTCATCCTCCTTCCCTCCCCCTACCTCCCTCTTTCTCTCCCTTCTAATTTATAGTGTATTATTAATAGCCTGACCAGGTCTCCTGCATTACAGGAGATAGCATTCCTATGAAAACATTTCCATATTATCAGGCATCTTTAGGCTCTTACTGTATATGTAAAATGAAAGCAGCTGTATATAGAATCCCACTGAGGAGATAAAGAACTGAAAACACTGCTGGGGCACTTATTATTCTCCCCAAGTGCACTTCTCCCACAAGGGTGATACAGTTTATAAATTTAAAGTTCATATCAAGCATAGGAAATCAGCAATGAATGAGGTTCAAATTGATGTATTGCATGCTAACACTCTTTCAAGAATCTGAACTACTAATGGTGAAAATAAACTGGCAGTAGATAAGAGTCAATAGAATTCAAGCTGGGATGGATTTATATCTCTTGTGGTTGTGAAGGGATTCAAAACAATGACATGCTTGACCCCTCCCTTGGTCAGCTTGGTCATCTCTTACAGTTCAATGTTAAACTCAATTCAAGCTCAAACAAAAAAAAATATTTGAATATATCTGATATTTTTCTTGTAACTAAACTTCTCCTATGTAATATGTGTGTTTCAAGTTTCCACAAGTTGGCTTGCAAAAATATAGCAGAATAGAATAGAAGGATTGCATCCAAATAATTCCACACTCAGTTCCTGCTATCTCCAGGGAGTATGGAGGGATCTAGTCTAAGGCTCTAGACAGGCATCATTGGTCATTATAGAATAATTTCCTCAACCTGATGCCTTTGTTGACAAAGATCCTGCATTAAACAGCATATTCTGAATATCAGAATTATTTTAACATCAAAATATAAGGCCCAGACTAATCACAAATCTGACAATTGTAGATGTGCCAAATACATAGACATACTCAAAGTTGGGCATTCTGAGGATAGTTGTAACTAATTTTCAGCACTTCAAATCCTGTAGGGACACCTAAAAAAAGTTTCTGATTACATGACTTGAGTTGCGCCCAACATCTTGAAATAACTGGAGCTGGTACCCAGTTTTGTGGCTGGCCAGCGGAACTGGCAGCAGATTCTGACAGTGAGGAGATTAGGGAGGGCCAGTCCTGAAGTCTGGGGAAGGCTCAGATGAGTGCTCTGCGTTGGAGGCAGAGATGGGACCAGGGCTGTCCAACAGTTATCAGCTGCCTTCAGAGTCAGAGATCAGTGGAGCAGAAGAACAGCTGGAGCCTGTTCCTGATGTGCGCACGCACAGAGCTGTCAGGAGAAGGGAACAGTTAAGGAACAAACGTCAACATGGGAGTAAAGGCACAGGTGAATGGCCCCTCCCATAGGGAATAAATAGATTAAATAGGAATGAAAGGGGAGTGGTGTTTGCAGGAGACAAATTAATTCATTTAATCAGTGTGAAGATCTGCTTATCTAAGTTTGTGATTCCCAGAGACTCCTTGCCAAGTATTTCCTTGTACAGCATTGCATACAAGGCCTGGCAACTCTCCAAGCCTGATAAGGTCTGTGGCTGCAAGTCACCCTTGAAAGACTTGTTTGTCGGGACTTTGCTGGATGTGAATGATAGGAATTCACATTAGCCTAATAAAAAGGCGTTTTGTCGAAACAAGGAGTCTGTTTCGTCATTTTGTGATGCCTAGGTCAGATCACCCAGCACGGATTCAGGAAGCCTAATGATCTTTCAATGGCTTTGCACTGAATTTATCTGCATGGAGTATGAGGCTAGATAAAAGCATAAGACAAATTATGTCTTATAATTAAATAGTAAGGTGCAACGTGATAAGTCATGTTTTATTGCAGAAAAGTTCATCAGCTGATGACAGTATGTATGATAATTCCATAATATTTTTTAGGGATCCAATGGAATGAAAGGAGAAAAAGGAGATGTTGGATTACCAGGTCCTCAAGGTCCCTCTGTGAGTCTTCCTATATTCTTTAAGTGTTGCTTTAACTATAATATTTTGGTTTTCTAACTACAGGTAGTCATTGCATAATGACTGCCCTGTTTAGTGACCATTGGAAGTTATGACCATGCTGAAAGGGCCAATTTTTGCATTTATGATCAATGCAGCATCCCCTCTGTCATGTGATTGAGATTTGGCTGCTTCATAACCAGCAGGCATTTACAACCGTGGCATAATCCTACAATCAATATGATTTATTTTTTATTAATTGTTTATTTAAGCCATTAGTAATAGCCACCTGTTTTTTAACCAGCCCCAAGCAGCTCCCAATCAGAAATTAGAACAACATAATATCATATTAAAACTATGAAACTAATCAGATCAAAACAATAAAAATAACACAATTAGCCATTTATGGGTTTCACAGCCAAGTCAGAGAAAAGTGAAGTAAAAATGAGAAATCATGGTCACATGAAGTCTTGCTTAATGACCGTGGGCAATTCGCTTTCTGATTGTGGTGCAAGGGGCATAAGTTTTGCTTAATGATTTTCATTTTAATTTGCAAACTGCACTGGGCTTTAGGAAGGGTGATACAGAAGTGAATTAAAAAGCAACCACAACATGCTGTAACAAAGGGTAGCACCACTAGCACATCCAATTACAGCTAACTGCATGGTCCCAGCAGATCAATGAACCCATCTGTAAAAATGATAAACTTATTTATGCATATATTTCACGCAGATTGTAGGACCTCCAGGTTCCCCTGGTCCACATGGTCCACCAGGACCAATGGTAAGCATTTTTATCCATTTATCTATTGTATATTCATGAATTAAAGCAATCCATCAGTGCTTCCTGTTCTTGAAAGTCTAGATGACCACATAACAAATACCTTAGAATTGCAGGGGTTCCTAGTACAAGAGTTTTGGGGTGAGGGGAAATGATATAAAATTTTTTAATGAATTGTAATATAGGCAGATATACGAAATAAGTAATTTTGCAAAGATGCTTTTAATTATATAAATGTAAGCAGCAAGATCCTATTGATTCTGTTTCCAATAATTGTTTTTCACATATTTTCAAAATCTTTAGAAAACATCTTGGACCTGAAAATTGATAGAGGCTTTTAATTTTTTAGACTTGGCTTGGCTTTTATTAAATAAGTAGCTCTATACCCATGCTTCGCTACAAAACTATGTGATTGGGCTTAGTTTTGGGGGAGGAAAATAAGGGGGGAAATTGTGCCTCTGCCTACCAGCATCCATTGGTATTCATCTGGCTAGCGTCCTGTCAGTGTGTGAGAGAGTTGAGAGCTGTTTAGAAACTGAAACATGGAAACTGAACGAGTATTTGCTTTGTGAGCAAGGAGACAGCAAGGAACCTGGGCGTGGCTTAGCTCAACTGTTCTGCTGGTTGCTGCTGTGAAACTGAAACTCCTCTCCTCTGCTTGTGTTTTGCATTTGGAACAGATTTCTTTTCAGGTGGGGAGGGGGAGTGGAACTCCTTAGCACCAGAGGTGTTAATAATAATATAGGAAATACTAATGCTCTGATGGTCATTTCGAAAAATCCTTTCTTAGTGAGCACCTCAAAGCCAAGAGGAACATAGGTGCCAAGTTTCAAGTTTGTAGGCTTTATGGTTCTCCAGATTTTGTTATGATGCATGAGCGGTATTTCACTTATATATATATATATATATAAATTAAGATATATTACTTAATGCAGTTTTCCTCAGCCATCCCTTCATAAGTTATACACATGAACACATCCATATGCATACACACATAGAGAGCCCCTCTAATATAAATATATGGAAATAATATAGAAGTGCATCCTTTAATTGTTATTTTTTATTTATTTTTAGGGACCTCATGGACTCCCAGGACCAAAGGTAAAGAATTTAGTCCACAACTAAAATCATTTTTCCAATTTGTTATGCTGTCATATTCATTAATCATGTTGAGGTATGCACTTAAAATTTTGTCCTTGTCTCATTTTTCTGTGAACTTTTTAAAATATTCGTAAACCTTTAAGCAGCTGCTTAAAATAACATGTCAAAACATATATAAGGATTTATGGCAATTTCCTGTGTCTGTTCCATATCAATTTTAGCTAAATTAGCTTTCTATAATGTTAATTATGGACAGCCAGTATTAATATTTAGTTGCCTGGTGATAATTTCAAACTATGACATTTGGAACTACCTTACAGAAAACAGAGGATGTACTTAAGAAGTTTTTTAAAAATATATTTTCTTCTTCACTGTTGTCTCAGTCTTCTAATCAAGCTCATTTCTTCTCTTAACTGAATATATTCTTTTGAATTATTTTGCCAATCTTTGTATTTGAAAATCCATGTTCCTAACAATACCACTTAAAAATCCACCCTTGCAGTTCAAAATATTATTTATAATATATGGGAATTAAATGTGCATGCAAACACATTGTTCAATATTTAGCCAAAAAGAATAATTTAAACCCTAATAAACTTTAATGCTATTTGCATTTATTTCATATTTCAAAGTCTTTTTTTATAATGCATCCTTGTAATTACTATAACTTTATATTAAAATTCTAATATTTTATTTTAAAAAGAATTAAATATGCCATGGTTTATCCACATTGGTTCTAAGTTCTCTTCTTCCTTAATGAAATCAGGTGTACCTTTCTAGGAATCTCCAAATAGTTCTTGCTTTTGAAGTTTTAATAGCACAGAATATATATATAGGGAAATCAATATAAATTTTATGCTACTTTTTAAGAATCTGGAAACCATAAAATTCTATTGTCAAAGGCTATAAATTAAACAAAAAAACACATGGTTCCTCTTTAGAAATGTCATGAAATTCTATTTAGCAGAGGTAATGAATTATTTCTACATATCAATTCTTTGTAAATTGGGAAAATTCACTGGTAATTATCCTGGTTATTTTTAATTATAAATGTTGATTCAATTAGAAATACAGTATCTAGATTTTTTTCAGAGCAAAAGAGTTCCCTTATCAGAGAATTTCAGAAACTTCAAATTTTAATAACTTTGATTGTCAATAAGCATTTAATTACTTTTGGGGGTAACTATTATATTGTGATCATTAGAAAGGATAAGCCAATGTACCACAGTCTTCCTCTGTTTAACTGATAATAGCCACGCTTAAAGGTTTGGAATATATTTTCATGAAATAATGCATATTTTAGTTTGCTATCCGAAGAAAAAGCCAGTTAAGGCAATGTAGAAAAAAATACTTTGTAATTCTGATTGATTAAATCACATTCACATTTTTCTGGCTTCATTAATTTTGTTGAAAGCCTGAAAAATTATGAATGGGCTTGGAATACATTTGCCAATAAGCAAAATGACAGTAAAACTGTATCCAAATTATTCAGAAACATTCTGAAATGTATGATTCAAACATGTAAGTTTATGTAGATTGTTTAATGACACCTACTTTAATAGGAGTCATGACTATTGCCATACAAAAAAATAAGAATTGTGATCTAAGCAGTGAGATGGTCTATTTTGATAAACAACCAGATTTATATTCATATCCTTCACTGGCTCTCTTCTGTCCCAGCTTGAGTATCCCTGTCAGCATCTTCACAAAATAGCATTTATGCTTTTATATTTAGGGTGAACCAGGGTTAAATGGTCTTAAAGGATTGAAGGGTGAACCAGGTCACAAGGGTGACAGAGGGCCCCTTGGTCTCCCAGTAAGTAAAATACTTCCATTTCAGTGCAGATTACAAGCTTTTCATTCTACTTTCAACCCAAAACTCTGGTTTACTCAATAGCAAATATAAAGCCATCTCATGCTGAACTGGTGTCTTTTTCTTAATCAAGTCTAATCTTGTATCACCCCATAGTATATGGATTTGTTGCTTTTTCATTGTTATTTGTCAGTTGGCAACATTAATTAAAATATGACTTTCTACCATTAATCATGCCATTATTTAAATGTTGTGTGATGTTTTGTTTAAATATTAACCATTGTCCACACAAGGATTGTCCATATGCTAACTGTAGGTTTTTGCTTAAGCAGAGTGACTGTAATTAAAAAATAGATATTTTATGAGACAATTATGGTTAGTATCCTAATTAACAAGTTTATATAACAAAGTTATTTTTCATTTGCTTGTAGAAGTATATGTTCTATGATTTAACATTTTTGGGAATTGTTTTCCTTGGTATAGTACTAATTTATTTGTAGTCAGTGAAATTCAATAAAATCCCTATTTTGCTTTCTGGAAGTGTTAAGATTTTCTGAAGACAAACAAAATAAGTCAAGTGCAGAGTTCACTTCCTGAATGGAAAAACATAGAAAAGTAAAATAACTGAGAAAATCTATTCAAAGGGGGCATTGATCCAAAGTCAAGCCCTTTAAATCCATTGTAGAAATTCAGCAAGAGCTTAACTCTCTTCTGATAAAATTAATGGAAATATAATACACAACTTTGCTTGATCAAAGTGTGAAAATTCTCAAGGGCTCCCATGTACATAAAGTCTTCCAAATAAAGCTATCTGACATCTTTAATTCACTTTGGTATGTGTGTGACAGCACTGCATTGATCTTGTTCGTATAATATCCACAGGGATCATATAACTCTCAGCAATACCAAAGTAAGGGTTGCAAATTTGACAGATATTTCAGACATGATGGTTAAACTTATTGAAATAATTGGTAAAATAGCTCTAATTTTAATATTCTTCCTATACTAATCATGACCACAAGTGATCGTTATGACAAAGCACTAAAATAGTTTATCTAGGAGATTTTTACAGTTTGTCATTCAGTAAAAAAACAAATATTTTAAAATATTTTATGGTTTTAAATACGTTATTGTGAGATCATATATTTAATTTTTGATGCACTGCTGCTTTCTTAGGGTTTTGGTTCTGGTTATGAAAATATACTTATATCTTTGTTTTGCTTGAGTATCTTTTACTAACTTTTAAATAATGATGTGTTTATTAAAGATCAACAAATGTTATAGCAAGTGAACTTTGTAGCACTAATGCATCTAAGGACTAATTCTGATCTCATTAAGCAATTCCACTAGATAATAGGATTACCATTATATAGCCTCTAGTAAAATCATAAACTTGTTGTGTTGTTTATATATTTATAACTTATCTAATACAGTAGTGTGGTACTTATTCCTGTTACACTTTGTAATCTGTGTATAAAAAAAGAAATTGTACTTGTTTTTCATCATAGTTACTAATCTAATGTTCTTGTCATTCGTGTTATCCCTGTCATCTGTGCTTCCGCTTAACTATACAGGGAGCATCTGGCTTAGATGGAAAGCCAGGAGCCCGGGTGAGTCCTTCCTGTTCCTATGTCCTTCTGCACTCCCAAATTGTTTCCCAGTGGACACATCAGCTGATTTACCATGTAGTACTGCCTGCTTTTGTTGCAATAAAACTGACTGGGTTATTTATATATTGATATTTAGCGGGAAGTTCTTGATAATGATAGGCTGGCAACCTTGGTAGTGATTACTTAGCAATATTATATCCTAATTTTTTCCCAGAGGGAAATGTTGGATTCAACTAAAATTATAACCTTATATATATATCAGATTATAGATTGATAGCCCATATGCTCATGTCCATAACAAATGACATGATATAACATCAAGCTACAATAAAATTGTAGAAGTCGCAATTTAAAGAAGTCCACCTTTCTATTTGTTCACTGATGTTAATCCAGCCACTCTAACTTGGTTTAAATAAAGACAAAACCCATGTTGGAAAATTATTATTTGTTTTGGTGTTTGTTATGGCTCCCCCACCATTAGTTGGTATTCTCCCTAGAGTTTTGGCGGGGGGGGGGGGAGAAACCTCTAAAATTGAAAATGCCCAGGATAAACACCTTATTTATAAATAACAGCTCTACAGTTCTTTAAAACAAATTACTCAGTTTTCCAAGAGAATGATAGAACAATTTAGTCGACCATATAAAATGTCCTTTTTCAGTGTGTCACCTGTCGCAACTATCTTTGTGAGTCTTTTTGTGAATTTAGCATGGGATTTTTTTGTGTTATCTCCCTTTGTTTAACCTTTTAACTCTTCCTAGAAAAAGATCCCTCTACATTTTCAATCTTACATACTATAAATATGAACAAGCAAGTAAACATTCAAGAGATAGAAAGAAGTACCACAGAGCTTTAAGGAACACAAGTGGGATTTCTGAGTCTGCAAAAGGAACCAAGAGATTTGGAATCTCAACAGCTAAACCATCGTTCTAATCCATGTTCTCAATTGTTGACATCAAGCTTGATTCTATATAGATTTATTTAATATAAAGCTTAATTTAGGTATTCCCAACCTTTTTCAGATCATGTTTTATTACTCTTCTAGGGTATTGATGGTCCCGCTGGTCCTCATGGCCCTGCAGGTCCAAAGGGAGACAGAGTGAGTCCATGTCTCAGATGTGCAAATATACCTTAATAATAGTGTATATTTTTGTGTTCTGTTCAAATAACTTATTGAAATATTTGGTGGTTGCATTCACACCAAATGCCTAATCTAATTACTAAATTTTCCCATACTTTAGGGTTACATAATACTTCGAGCAATAACCCAGCTAAAAGCACTGGGTTTTCACAACATAAGAAGACATACAAAGATGATTATCATGGTGATGATAATGGTTACGAAATCTACATTCTAACTAATATTATAATTCTTACACAAATGCAAAAGCACCAGACTGTCTTTAAATATGTTAATAGGAAGCTGTTTTATTTACTGCACAATTCAAGGCTACAGTTTTTTCTTTTTGTTTCAACTGAGAAAATTTTATTGTCGTTTTGGTGCTAAGAGCTCCCTCATCAGAAAGCGTAGTATGCTAATAAAACATCATGAATAATGTAAATACTTGAGGTTTTTATTATATTCATACAAAAGACAGCTTTGCCTTTAGAGATGAATAAGAGGAAGTGAGCATAGACCTATCATCTCTCCGCTTGAATTACCTAAGGCTTTTTTTTAACCAGCAATTTTATTAAAAAATTACAGCCACAATAATAAGAAACTAATACAAACTAACTAGAAAAAAGAAAAATAGGTGAAGAGAAGAAAAATAGATATAGAACTGAAATCAAAAATCAGAATATTGTAAAGAAAAAAGAAAACAAATATATAAATGATTTCCCTTCATCACAAGTATAAACAATTTTAATAACTTATCACGTTCTCTTAAAATGCAACAATTTATTCTTCCAAAGAAATCCTTAAATGTCTTGTTGAGCTGCCAAAGGCTTCTGAACACAAACATGGAGATTTTGTGAAGGACAGAAATAAGTGAAACATATTGCATAATAAAATCTCTTTACTATATATGAGCAACATTGATATTATTATATTTTAGGGTGAAAAAGGAGTTTCAGGAGATCCTGGGCCCAGAGGACCATATGGTTTGCCTGTAAGTTATATGGTTTTTCAGAAGTGCAATATTTCTAAAATGCTTCATTAAATCTTGGTACATTTAATAACTTTTCATCATAAAGAAATGCAATTAGTTTAAATAGCAAATCATGGCTCATGAGACTATCTGCTTATTTCAGGTTTAAACAGATTCATCTTTTCAGCGCACTTTGTAAAAATAATAAAGTAGGTTTGACATGAACAAAATAAGAAAAAAACAATATTGAATATCAACTCTTTTGTATTGCTCCTGCCATTTTTATAATTTTGTGAAGGTGTCCTTAGGCATCAAATTATAACGGTATGAATTTGTGCCAATAAAATATTAGATTATTTTTTTAAAACCTCACACATCTTTCCAGAGGAAAGAGCAATCAGGTCTTAATTATGCAAACCATGTTATGCTGTTCTGTTTTAATTTGCATTTTAAGCAAATTTGATAAGAGTTGTTTTCATTGTTTTTTTAAATGTTACACAATTACATTATTGTCTTGTTTCATTAAATGTCTCAGGCAAAGTATCTTTGCTCATGAAAGATTGATATAAGTAACTGCCTTGAATATTGCAATATACTGGAAGCAATTATTAAACTTTGCTAGCATGCAGGTATTTATAATGTGCAGATATTAAATTTTGTTTGATGTATATTTTATAAGAAATATGTTTATATGTAGACATATATAAAATGAGGAGACATCTCCATATCAGTATAATTTTAGAATAAATATTTTGACATAGAAATATTTTTCTATAGGTTGAATACTAAAGAATCATATATTTATATGTGTAACTGGAATTTGATGTTGTTTATTTTTGTGGGAAGTTTTAAAGATTGAAATATACTTAATTCTTCTTTGTGTCATGCACGATATCATTTATTCAAACTGCAAATGAAACTATTTGTGTATAAACACACATGAAAGGGAGAGAAAAACAGCAGGCAAACCACACAAAGAACATCTAAGCCAAAAATCATGCAATTTTTAGATGTAAAAACTATGGGTTTAGATTTTTTTTTTAATAAATGTATTTAGCACATTATTCTTAAAAATATATCTATTTAGACAGTAGTAAATTAGAATAATTTACTATTCTTACCCATTCCTCCATCAAATCTATCCATCTATCTATCTATCTACCTCCCTATCTCCCTATCACATTTTTGAACCACCTATCTCCCTTAGATAAATAGCATTATTTAATATCAGAAAAAGCATTGCAAATAAAAGAGCGTGAAAGAAGTGCATATCCATTGACAGTGTCTGTCAGATAAGTGGTGTGTTTATTCAAAAAGACCCCAAACATGGTAGTAGTGGCTTCTGTATCAGTTACTGAGAATCACTATGTGTTACAGAGGAATTTACTAAGCTGTAGAATGGCCGTAGTGCCTTGGTAAAGCAGGCAGTCAGTTGAGGCAAAACAGCTTGTCTGAAAACCTGAGGAACTGCTGCCAAGCATTTTAGCCATTTAGATTAAGATTAAGTCTGCTGGCAGTGCTCTGGAAACATCGGTCTCAGATTTCAAACCACACTTCATTGCAATGACAATGGAAACCCTTGTTCTTCTGCCAGCTTGCTTTGTGACTTCATAGTAATTTTTTCAGAAATTCAGGTGACCATTTCAGTAGAAATGTTTCAGTAAAAATATTTATTGAAAATAGTCATGAAAGATAATTCCCAACTTTTGAGCATCCTCTTATCTCTCCATGTGTCTTATAGATAAATATTTATTCCCACTAACTATTGTTTAATTCAGGGTAGTTGGAAAATGTCTACCCTAACAGATCCTACGACTGTATAAAAGTGATCATATTCATAATGAGCACCCTCAGTTCATATTCTCCAAAAAACTAGATAGATATTGCAGGAAGTGTGCTGCGTTAGTCTCTAGTGACAAAAAATATCAGAATCAGGTAGCACCCTTTCTAATTAATAAATATTATTAAGAGACACAAGCTTTTTTGAGCCTCAATTTGCATTCTTTTAGATGCTTCTGAGCTTTCTTCTAGTGATTGCATTGCTACTAAAATGACTTGATCAATATTAGACATGTTCAGAGGTTTCCCTCTTTGTATGTGGTGTGATTGTTAGCAGATGTCCTTCAATTCTAAAGAGTTCCAGTATCCCAAGGATCAATAAGACAGAATATACTCAAATGATGTTTTGCTTTATCCAAACCCATACTTGCAGAGTAACCTGAGTAGGAGTTCTAATGTAATAATCAACATACATATATGGCATTCCCTGACATTTAAATTGCTTGATATTAATTATCATTGAACATGTTCAGTGCCATGGATTTCTACTCTCTTCCTTTTCTGTGCTCTATCAGAACTTGGAATAAGAAGATTTTATTTTCATGTTTTGCTTCACATGTTGTCTAAACTAACAAATAATTAACTCTGGTTTGCTGAAATATATCATAATTCACTATTTCATACTATTTTGCTTCAACAAGAGCATAATTAACAATAATAACCCTAAGTGATACCTAAATATTTCCTCATGTTTAAAAGAGGAAATTATAAAAGGGATAAATGCACCGTATGTGATCGTTCTTCATTCAGAGAGCTTCTTCTTAAGTCAGTTTTGGATTCAAAATTGTATTTTGTACACAGCACATATCTGAATAATCCAGGCAAATATTTAACCCCACTCTCAAGTTTTATAAGAGCTTGAAAGCTTAACAAAACTATTATGGTTATTTAATAGGGCAAAGATGGTGAACCTGGCCTTGATGTAAGTAATAATTGATCACCTATTTGTCTGTGTGGTAGGTAAACATTTGTTTCTAATAAATAGTCGCATGCTTACAGCATGTTGAAGATTATCCCATTTCCTATGCATGACAATCATGCAGAGATTATACTCAACATTGTACTGTTGTTTGTCTTAAAATAATACTAGAGAAAAAAATAATAATACTGCCATAAATAGTACCCCTAATGGTTTTGCAGCAATTGATGCTAACTAGAGCACGGATAAATGACCACGGAATGACAAATGTTCATACAATTCTGTATTGTTATAAGCATATTACTAAGTGCATCAAACCTTACAAATGCAGTCAGTTAGTGCTTGGAAATGCAACCACATCAAAACATCACTATAAGGCAATTCCTATTTACAGCAACAGCTCTTCCAAGATTTGAGGTGTTTTAATCATCTTATCATAAACCACACATTTTTTAAAAAAACCCTGCCACTGCATTCTAAAACAGTGAAAACCTCAAGGGAAGTTGTTCCCACAAGGAACTAGTGTTTCTAGATTGCTACAGCATCTTTGATTGCACATGCTGACTGCAATTGAGTTATATCTTATCAGAATTAAATTAGAAGCTGCAGTTAGATGTTCCAGTTTGTGCAAATTCTTTGGAATGGAAAGAAGTTAATTAGAATGCTGCTGCCCATTTGTTCAGTGCCACTAAACCTCTATGAAGCATTTGTCCTTGAACATTGCCAGCACTAATTTGCATGTAGGAAAACGAGGGTAATTTTCTATCAATTCTTTTTTAGTTTCAAACTACGCGATGCAGTGTTCTTGGGAGTGGGGCTGCCGGGGTGCATCTCATATAGCTCTACAGTAAATAAATAAACCCACATATCAATATACAGAAGCCAATAGAGATATTTTTGTTCATTTTTTATAGGGATTCCCTGGTCCACGTGGAGAAAAGGGTGATGTAGGAGAAAAGGGAGAAAAGGTGACCTCAATGCTATTCAACTGTTGTTTGATTACTTAGCTTAGTCAGTTGCTCTCTCTTACAATTTGTCCCGTTAAGCTGGACTTTCTGCCTTCTGTGTGCCAAAAGGCCTATTACTGCTCTACTAGACAAAGTCATTTGTCAGAACGTGAAACCAAGCTTCCATCCAGATCCCCCCAAAATCAGCATATTCTATAATCAGGGAAAGGTTTTCTCCCTCCAAGACTCCTTGCAGTCTGTGTTTGTTTATACTTTAGTTACTGTCAAGAGACATTGGAAGAGCAATAGGAAGGAGACTCTGGGCCAGAGTGACAGCTTTTGTAAATCAATATACTGGTAGGGCTACAGACTTCAAATAAATGTGTGCTGTATTTATACTTCTTAAGCACCTGGTTTTATTGCTGAGAGGATGAAAACTAAGCTAGGAGCACTTTGGACTAATTCCGAGGAAGTTAATTGCATCGGATTCCTACTGCAAGTGATAGCTAAACAGTTAATTAAAGCACTTAGTCCTATTGAGACAGCTTCAATGTGCTTGTCATTGGATTGCCCTCACGTACAATCATTGAATTTCTGTTAGGATATGCAGTGTGGGAGCTCTGGAATACATGCACATATCCAGCCCATGCATGGACCTCTCTCTCCAGTTCTTTATTTTCATTGTGCACTAATATGTACCCCAAACAGTTATACATGTAGATAGTTAGTTCAATGAGTGGTATTTAAGACATCCCAGCGGATTACCAATTGATTCTCCTTAGGTTTTTGTGAAAATTCAAATGGCTTTTGATTCTGAAATAGCAAAAACAAAATATTACAGGAATTCACATCAAACAGCTCAAAGCAAAAGTCAAAATTGCACGTAGGTTGTATCAGATTGCTAATAAGCAAAGAAAGAAACTTGCAGTAGTACTTATTTCTCACATTATAAAGATGAAAAAAGTCTTGATTATTGCAGGATATTGCACTATAGTCTATGCCCTTGAAGTGGCAGCTTCCCCTAGTTCCAATTCTGATGACCATGCATTAGGCATGATTTTTTTTACTGGAGAAAGCCTATATCCAGCCAGAATGGAAATCCATGTTCATACAGCCTACATGTATTCACTGTTATCTTGAGCTTTTGTTCCTTGACTCATCCATTCCCAATGCCTAGCCATAGAGGATGAAGAAGCCATACAACTTTAGATGCGATATAAGCAGCATAACTGTTTCTTTTCAGTTGTGTAATTTATAAAAGAGTTGAAAGATAAACAAGTCATTTTGTAGGATAAACAATATTGTAATATTTCATTGGGGTTGGGCAGAAAATAAAAACCTAAATTGGGAAATCTGCTTTGAAATAGCCTGATGAGCTTCGTACCAAGACTTTATTTAGGCTTATTCCCTTCTTTAGTTCATTTTCCAAACTTTTCATGTTTACCCTGCTGAGTATGTTGGGAAAATCAATTCCCTGGAACAATTTCTAATAGAATGAAATATAAAAGGGCTGCAGCACCACCTTCTGCAACAATGAAGTATAGCACAGGGAGCAACAATCAAACTGTATGTCTGAGTGGAAAACTAAACTAGCCACCTTCAGCACTAATCTTTGTCACTTTCTAGAAACTGTATTTGGTCCAACCTGTTCAATCTTTTTTAAATTGTGCTTGCCAAAGTGATAAAACAGTAGTGCTTCTAAAGTGTAGCATTTTAAAAAGTGTACAGCAGGGACATTCAGGGAGGGAGAGAGAAAAATATAAGTGCAGTAAATTTTAATAATAGTGGTCACTTCCATTTTCGCCACGAGCTATTTTGTTAGTTTCTTCCAATTTATTTTGCTATCCAAATGTATGCTTCCATGAGAGATCATAAACATAATTGCAGACCCTATAACTCTATCAAAGATACTAGATTTAGAGCTGGGTTGAAGTGAATGAAAAAAGATGCTTCTTATAATTCACACTTTACTTGTAATGTGTCACAGATTAGACCAGTGCTTTTCAAACTTTTTCCTTCATTACCCTGTTGGAAATTAAAACCTACCCTCTCCTAGAAGAATGAAATATCCTAGGAAATATTAAAAAGGCAGAATATTTCCTCTAAAAAGAGTAGAAACTCAGAAGCAGAAACTCACCAAAGAGACAGAAACTCAGCCCCCCCACCTTTGCTAATGGGCCAGCCTATTTTACATAACAAAGATCTACTCCAGGTAGAGCTATAATAGGAATTGCCTAAAGCCCTTTTATTACATCATCATCCAGCAAGGCTCAACCAAGCCTGGGACTCAGAACAGCCTACAGAGTTTCCCCTGCATGGCCCCATGGGAGTCTGACAACCAATCAGAATACAAGCTCAAATTCAAATCCCAACAGAGGGTATAAAACCCAGGCACTTTCAGCATCTCAGCCCTTCCTTTTTTCTTCACCCAAGGCATGTGATCCTGTCCACCATTAAACCATCTTTCCAAGCAGTCACCATGTTTCCACTGTCTTTCTTCCTCACTTGGAAGTGAACCCAGATGGATAATTCTTCCAACAACCAAAAACGCTTATCAAAAAGTCTGTGTTACTGCTTATCTGAAAGTCCTTATTTAAATGTCCCTGTCGTGATTGGGTAATGGGTTCATCATCCATTACCCAAGGGAAAAAAAAACACTTTTATCCAACTTGGGGTAATTTATCCAGGTTTGGAAAGCACTAGATTAGAGACTAAACCCCAGATTGTTGTGTGCCTCTTACCTGTGTGGTTAATTTTTGATTCTGTGTATTGTGCAAATATTAAGGTAATTTAGGCAGCCAGAATTTTAAGTTGAATGTCAGTAAGTATATTATGTGATCATAACCTCAGAGTCACTTGGTTCAAAAATAATTGGAAGATCTTTGAAATCATCTTGAGAAAAATAAGATGCAGCCCATAGAATAACAGAATATTGCTTTGAAGGCGAAACTATATGCTTACATGTTTAAAGAATAGCTGTTCAAAGAAGAACTGTTAGAGTTTAGAGAACTATTATCAATCCTGAAAGAAAAATATTGCATCATAGTATACAATATCATTGCCTGATGTTTGCTTTTCCCAGTCATCATTTATTTGCTGGCTGAGCTAATTGTAAAAGAAGGCCGGACTGGCTCAGTCGGGTCAAAATTTGTCTTATGGAGTTAATTGTGCCAAAATGAATGCAAAATGAAATTGCTTTTGAAACTAAATAATTAGCCCTAGATATGCTAGATCAGAGGCTCCCAAACTTGGCCAGCTGGCTGCAGAATTCTGGGAGTTGAAGTCCACCAGTCTTAAAGTGGCCAAGTTTGGAGACCTCTGTTCTAGATGCAAATAGGGAATTAAATATTTAAACTAAATTTTGACCTTAAAATTTTTCAAAAAATTTAGTATACTATTTAAAACTCATAAACATTAGGTTTAATTCTAAATCTTGTATCAATAAAAATGTTCCACATAATAATTTCCTGTCAAATTTGAAAAGCGTGGGAAACCATATTTTTGCATAAGCAATATTAAAAGGCCCAATTTAATGGATGGAAACTGAACAAGGAGAGATTTAACTTGGAAATAAGGACTTTTTGACAGTGAAAACAGCTTTGCCCTCGGAAGTTGTGGAAGCGTCATCACTTGAGACTTTCAAGAAGAGATTGGACTGCCATTTGTCAGAAATGGTGTAGGGTCTCCTGCTTGGGCGGGGGGTTGGACTAGATGGTCCCGTCCAACTCTGATTATCTGTTATAAATTTATTTTTCATTTATTGTCCTCTCAAATTATTCTAATCCATTTTGGTTGGCTCTTCTGGTTCATGGTTTGGTCAGAATCTACAATCAGGATTTGTTTATTTTCCTTTTTTGAAAACTGCTTTTGTTTCTATGTACTGTAACATCTTTATTCACTCATGCTCAAAGTGGCATACAAAGCACTTTTTTGTCTGATTTTTCCCTAGGGTCAGAGTTAGCCCTGTTTGTAACTCATATTTGGTTTTTTTAATGTAGAACTTAAATTATCAATATTAAAGATAAAGTTTGCCAGGTTGATCTAGCCTAAATGGAAATGCAATGTTTCATAGTTAATTTCTTTGACTCATAGTTTCTAAGTTATACCTGCAATTGTTCAATTACTGCTAAGAACTTCCCTCACCATTTTAAAGGTCATCATATTTTGACCTACTATTGAAACTGATGAATAAGTATTAGTCGTAGGGTATAATACAGTATATCTCTCCATGAAACTGTGTTTGACACTCATTAGATGTTTTGTCTTATGCCATAGTACATTGTGCATTTTGTGCAATTTCACTTTTTAAATATATGTTAGCACAATAATTGGATATGTTAATTTAAAGTGAGGTTCTAATTTTTGAGGGGGGAATCACTGAGTGACCTTCAGAATGCACTGCTTTAGGCACTGAAGTGTTAAATATTACATCATTACAAAGCAATTGTTCTAAATATTTATTTTCTGCTGTAAACGGATGCATATTTTTGATATGAAAATGAGTGACTGTCTATTCCTTATACACCATCCTAATCTTCTCTGGCTTTCCAGAGATGCATTTCTCCCTTCTCCTCTTACCTTGTTTCCTTAAAATTCATCTGGTCTTTTTTACCCTTTTCCTTGCAAATTAAATCCTTCCTTCAGCTTAGACCTTGACAATCATTCCTTAGTTCTATTAACTGTCTTTCTGTTGTATCTCCATTACACTAATATTCTTAATTTGTGTGTGTCTGTGTGTTTAATTAGAGTCGCTTTTGGTTTTGTTAAGGACTGTGAGCGTGGAACTCATTTACCATTGTAACTGATCAGGTGTGAAAACAATTCTACATTAGTTCTCAAAAGTGTCCTCCAATGCCTTCTGATCAAGTCATTCTTCTCAGGAAACTGTTCTTGTCTCCAAGTGTTGCATTTGTGTAGTGAAATCTATTTACAGATAACTCTTGAGTTAACTCTCAAACTAAATATTGCATATTTTCTTTGAAAGAATGCCTATTTTCAGACAAAAAAAGTTTCTAATTTAGGGACATGAATATTTTAATCCAGGAAGGATGCCAATAAATGTACATTAGAATATTGAGCTCTAATGTGGAAATGCATCAGAATACGACACATGGAACTTCAGAATCCTTTTGCAGGTTTGGACAAAGAATTGAACTTTATCACTTAATTTTCTTGATTGGCTGCTCCAATCTAATGCCTTTCAGTTGTGTTAAACTGGACTTTATCTTCTATTATGATTCTGTTAGGGCAGGGGTGTGAAACTTGCAGCCCACAGGGTGGATAAATCACGCACTGGTCATGCCTACGTCCGGTTTAGCGAAGGGGGAAAAAGTCGTGACGCATAACGTGATGACACCATGACGATGCGAGTTTGACACTCCTGTATTAGGGGAAAGCTGATCCCTAACACAGGCCCTTTACCTGAATATTTTAAAAAGGAATTATCCTAACATGTTTGGTTGCAATCTTAATAGAATTCCTAAAGAAAAATCAAGTGGTACATCTTGCAACAAACTGAATACATTAAAATTAAGGCCAACTTTTTTTCTTATTATGAACCCAACCCTGAGATTCTAGCATTGCATCCAGTTTAGAACATTGAGATGTAACATTTTTGCCACATTATTTATTGGGCCATCTGTCTTCTGAGAAAGAAACCTCCTCACCAGATTAGAAAAAGCTGATCTAGCTCTAAAAGTAATGCCTTCTGTGTATATTAAGATTATTCTAACTGGGATTGTTCCCACGTGGACAGATGTAGTGTTTCTTTTTTATATAATAAAGTTGTTTTTTTATATTATAAGCCATAAAAATCGCAGTTTCAATTGAACAGTATGTTGCCTGGGTACATGTTATTTTAGAAAATAATGATCAAAATATTTACAGCAATAGCCATTACAATTATATTAATTCTAAAATAATGATTACTTATCCATTTTAAGAAATTTCTCTTATAACATTAGTTCTTTTCTTACATTTTCATGTTTTCAACTTCTGATTCTGTTAGTCAACCATTTATAAAACAGGTCCCATGTCAAAAAATATTCAGTTTCCTCCTTTTCCTTACTTGTCAATGTCAATCTATCCATCTCTGCACATTCTAATATTTGACAGATGTAGAATTTCTATAAATATCAGCAGTTTGATATATGCAAATATTTTTTTCTTTCCATTGGAAAAAGAGGAAGTCCTTGTGGACAGGGATTTACTATTTAATGTCAGTGATATTGTCATATCTAAAAAGTCAAGCGCATATATTATTATATTGTGCATATAATAAGCAGAATGTTTTTCCCCATAAAATGTAAATCTATCTGAGGAAAACAGTGATCTTCTTGCAAAAAAATCAAGCCCAGGAAAGCAAACCCAACACAACTGTTAGGAAACGTATCACAAACTCTTGTTTTTTTAAAGACTGGCAAGTTTTTGATGACCTGTTAGGATGAAAAAATTCAATCTAATTCACAATTCCAAGTCCTGCTTTAGGATTCAAAGTGCCCATCGTTATTGCATTAACGCAGAAGAGCAAAACCCAAACTGATGCAGTTAATGCTTCTGATCATCATATAACTTATTTTTCTACCTAATGCATCCTGCAAACTAGAACACAGTGGTAAGTGTCATTTCAGCCCTTCATTGGCTAACAAACAAAAACTTTTAAAACAGATCTTTTTGATTCCCTGAAAAAGAATAAAACATGTGTTTTATCCAAACCATTGTGTCCACAGGGGGAAAAGGGAAAGAAAGGCAAAAAGGGGCCTAAAGGGGAGAAAGGAGAACAGGGTGCCCCTGGATTAGATGCACCTTGTCCATTGGTATGTCTCACTCATCTCTTGGAAATGTCTCCTCTTACAGTAGATAATATAGCAAGATGTCACACTGCAGAGAGGAGCAAGCTACAGTTTGAGCAAAGTTGTTATTCATGAAAAGACTTCATGCACTTTAAACACAATCATGATCTGGCCTATTTCCAAGGAAAATATCATCTGAAATTTTTCAAATTGTAATGAATGGAAGAGTCTTCCATAATTGGTGGCACAGTGGCTCATACGCAACTTCATGTTTGCCATATAGATCTCGTGTTCAGCTACAAATCTTAGAAGGGAAGCATCCACATTCTTCTGTGGTCCTCTTCTGGTCAGCTTGCTCCTCTTTTTTCTATTTGCTTGTTCCAGCAAAGTTGATGTAAAAGACATTTCTTAGTAACGTTGCAAGTTAATCTTTACAAACAGGGATTCCGTGGAATTAAGGGGGAAAAAGGGGAGCCAGGCCAACCTGGTCTGGATGGGCTGGATGCCCCTTGCCAATTGGTACAGTATTGCTCTTTCCTTCCAACCCTGCATGTGATTCCTATATTTCTAATCAGCTGTTTCCAATGTAAAGTTCACAGTAACTAGGCTTTACATTATATGTGCCCATACATGCATGTGCATGATCAAAGTAGCCTGCCTTGGTGATGATAATAATATCCAGAGACCACTCCACCTCTCAACATCAGCAGTATAATACTGGCAAGTCATATTTACATTGCACAGTGGTTCTGAAGTTATTTTACTCCAACATCTGCAGTGAAATGCAATTTTCTATTTAAGACTGTCTTTCTTCCCATCCTTCCCATCACCAATAAAACATGTTCTGCCATACTTAATATTAATGAAACTGCCCTCTTTGCTGATACAGAGTAGATCCACAGTACCCCATGACTGAACTATCGATATCATATGTCACATTAATACTTGCCCCGCCCATAAGTATGAATTTCATCTGACCTCACTCATAAGTGGGTTTTATGATTTTGAATCATAACTATATTTGCATGTTCTTTATGTTTTTTTTTAAATGGCACTGGAGTAATGAAATATATGCTTCCAATAGAAGAGAAATTCCTCAGGGTTAAACTGTGGAATCCTTTGTGCTCCCTGAATTTAGTTGTTTGCTTGCAGATATTTCATTATCCAACTAGGTAAATATCACCATGCTAGCGAATGTGGGGTTTGTTCTCAACTCCCACCAACAGTGACAAGATAAGCTATTATATATAAATAGGGGAGGAGACCATACACTTACTAGCACTGATTGTATAGTGAAATATCTGCAAACAAACAACCAAGCTCAGGAACCACCAAGGATTCCAAAGTATATGTGCCTAAGAAAAGAAGAGAAATAATCATTCAAAGCACATAAGTGCATAACCAGTGATACTTTTCTGGGCATGGTTTCACTGCGAATACATGTGTCTCAAAGTAATCTCTCTTAGATGTCTATTCCTGTTAATGTTTTGCAAGGTGGGCACGAACAGCCAACCTAGGCAAGTTCTTAATGTCCATACTAATCCTTTGACAACCTCTGGGCTTCCTGTTCCTGATATTCTATTTATTTGCTTTGACTGCTATCTGTTCTCATTAAGCAAATGAGGAAATTGAGAACTTGATGTTTGCTTTTGGGCAAATGTACAGAGTGAGTGAACAAGTGGAAGGTATGATCTGGAGTTAGCATTATCTCCATGCTTGACCTTCTGCTTATCTAATAGATAGATGACAGGGAGGCAGACCCACGGTGTGCTTAAGAATCAATGCAAACAGTTCCAAAGAGTGCAGAATTTACCTACAATAATGGAGTGGAATGATATAAATGCATTACAGTAGGCAGGGGAGACACCAACTGAGATTGGTAGTTACATGTTTCTATGTTTCTACCCTCAGTTTAATAACCCAAGATTGTTAAGATTAGATAATAAATATTCTTCCATGGAATCATATAGTTATGTAAGTTATATTGACAGGGAAATGTTCTTGAATAGATTTACCTATCTGCTATTCCCATTATCACGCCTACTACAGATTGCAATGTTATGTTATGTTCACTTCAAAATAAGCTTTATAAATCCTTCATAAGGAATTAATGGCCTGCAGCCCAAAGCACTTATTGTCTGTTTCTTAAATGTTTCCAGCATAACAGTCTTTCCTTTGGATCTTAATTTCCCACAATACATACAGCAGTTCCCTACTCTCTGTTAGCATGAATTCAAGCACCTACCTATACTAAAATTCTACTTGTTGACCCCTTTCCAATCCCTTGTACCAATCTGGCAAACATTTCAATATTATGAGAATATGTTTTCTTTAAATCATCATTATCTACACATTTCTAGAAAATGCCAAAAACATTTTAAAGGGTAGATATATTTGATCTGCATGTTTTGATACTGTGTGTAGTTTAAGCACGATTCTCTAAAAATGAATGGAAAAGTTTAGTGGATTTTTAAAAGCATATCTGTAATCTAAATTGTCAGGGAAGTCTTTAAGTATAAAGTCCATGTTTTATTTTGTTTCTCATTGTTTAACAATAACCTATTGTTATATGTTTTATTGCAAATAAATAAAGCCTTCATAATTCTTTAAAGTATATTTGACAGTACAGTATTGGTTCTGTCTGGAAATCAGTGAAAACTATCTTCTAATCTAAGGCACCTGTTAGCAACTTTTTGCTTAGCTATTTTTGATATTTATTCCAGGATTTTTTTCCCCTCTTATACTCAGTCATGTCCAATTTTTGCAGATTGCCTGGGTAAGTCCCTGCAGGATTCTTGCAAAAGTTTTTCAGAAGTGGTTTACCATTGCCTCCTTCTTGGGGCTAAGAGAAAGTAACTAGTCTAAGGTCATACAGTCGTGCCTAAGGCATAACTTTGTGCCTAAGGCAGCGCGAGTACTCACGCTCTTCTAGCTTCTCACCTGATGCCATAACCACTACACAAAACTGTCTCTCCTTATTCAAATTATCAAATTATAAACTGAGGATGGGAAATTTATCCTAACATTCAAATAAATATTTTACTAGTTTCATTTTCTTATAACTTTCAAGCAAATACTGTTAACATAAAGCCTTTCCATATAGTCAAGTAGCGATTTTATGTACTTATAATCCCACAACTTTCTCAATGGGAAATAGATAATTATCAGAATCCAGAATCAGAATTTAATAGTACCTGATAACATACTACAGTATCTTATAATTGGAATAACATTTGGTCTGTTATCCTTCGGAACAAAGATATGCCATTATTTGCAATATTGCCCAAATGCACTGTGTTGACTCAACCTGATATAACTGATATGAAGTTAATAGGAGCGAAATCTCTCTATTTAAAATCAGAATACAGTTAAGACAATAGAACTAAACTAAACTTATTTGAACAAAATTCCTGATTTGAGTCAAAGATAGACACCATAGTTTGGGGTGGGATTCAAATTTTTTAACAACTGTTTCTGTGGGTGTGGCTTAGTTGGTGGGCGTACTTTGGTAGTCATATGACTGAGTGGATGTGGCTTGGTGGTCATGTTATTGGCTGGGCATGGCCAACTCAATATCATCGAGGCACGCATCTCCTCGCCTAGCCTCTCATGACTGTGGGGATGCTGCAACAGTCATAAGTGTGAAAAATGGTCATAAGTCACTTTTTTCAGTGCCATTGTAACTTTGAATGGTCACTCCATATAAGCAAAGTACCAGCAAAGGAGGGGAAAAAAAACTCCAAAGAAGTTTCTGAAATGGGAAGTCTAGTCCTGCCAAGAATGCAATAAGGTTTAATGGAGAAGCAGTTTCTACAAGCAACACCAGAATGTTTCCTTCCTGCCTTCCTTACAGGATTCGGCCATTCATTTCTTCTGACAACCAGTTTTCCAAACTGCTTAGAATGTTAACAACCGGTTCTAGCGAATAGGTGTGAACTGGTAGAATCCCACCCCTGCCATAGATTTAACTGATAGCAACTGAAGCAGACTTTGTAAAATACAAAGAGATTAGTTAGAATAGTTTCTCAAGTAGCAAAGTAATTCCAGTGCATTCCAGACAGAAACGATGCTTGCTTATGGAAGGTTGTTTTGATTATTTTATTTTTCCAAGTCTATCTAATTTTCTTGAGAAGGACTAACTAATCCTGCTCAAAACTAAAATCATCCATTATCACTATTATATATAAATCAAAGCCATAAATATGTTTGCATGGAATAAGACATTTGTTAATGTATGTTGTTCCTCTGAATTGACTTCGACTATTTGTACAGTCGTATGGTTGCAGTTAACTGTTTTTCTGCAAGCATGGGGAACATGATTCTATACATAATAATTTCAAGAATTGCCATGTACTACATCTGTTATATTGTTTGATTTTTGCTCATTTTCCTAAGTACAATTGAGGCATGAACTGATGAAAGTATGCAGTGAAAGGGTGCAGTGTATTTTCAAACTTAACAATATACTTTGGTTTTCCTTATTCAAACAGGGGCCAGATGGGTTACCAATGCCTGGTTGCTGGCAAAAGGTGGGAATCACTCAAATACTCTTATGCTTACAATTTTAATTTCTCAATATTACATACCATCAAGCATCAATAAACAAAATAATATCAGTCAACCCAAGGAAAGAATATAAACAAATGAAGAAAAAAGCTTTGCCTTTACTAACCCGTTTTCCATACTGTAGCAGGAAGAAAAGGTGGAAAATTCCCTCCTTTAACTCCTATAGGCTGAGAGTTCTTTACTCTGTGGGAAGAACTCCACTTATATAACTCTTTATCCAGCTTAATATTATTTATACAGTTGAAACATATCTTTGAACAACACTACTAATATTGCTAATATGTTTTTCTTTGTTTCTTTGCAGTGATGAATCTAACTTTGAAAGCATGAAGTTGTGTATATAATACATCACCCCCAGTATTTATAATTGAAAATGGAAGCATTGGTTTTACAAGTTTGAAATATGTTTACATAGCACTGCTTCTATTTGTTTGTAGTAGTCATGTGTATATATGGCTGCAATCTGGCAAATATAAACTGTGCAATAAATGTACAGAATCCAAATATTCTGTCTACAGAGCTAATTCCAATAGAGTGATCATTCATAGACATTTGAATTGTTTCTGTAGTTTTCCTTTTTTACATTTTGGGATTTTTTTTAACTTTTATTTTTTGGTTGGATACTTGTTTTATTTGGCTTGTGGACAAGCATTGAGAAGAAGTGCCATGAACTAGGTTACATTAATTTGCGTGGCCACAAATGAACTTGATAATAGATTGCCATTGGAATATAATGATTCTGTTGCCATGTTCATCCTCATAAACTCTATCACTGCTCCATTTCCCCAAACTTGCTTGAGCAAAAGCATGATTTGTGTGCTAAAACAGCTTGTTGTGCTACAATGGTTGCTTGCTGTCATATGCGATAATGGCTGCTTGCTGCCAATTTCACTTGACACATTGAATTGTTCTTTCTGTCATCTCAAGGGAGTCACGCCATGGCTTATTGCAAAAAAATGATACAAGGAGATTAAGACAAAGCTCTTGAATTTGGAGGGAACTTCGGTTCCTTCTGACGGTGGATGGCCTTCAGTCTTCTGGGTTATGAAACCATCTTTGTGAAAAAGAAGGATGATACCTGTTCATCAGCATCTCTTTGCTTGCATTGCTCACAGTCAAGAAGCATGGATTTCAACACATGTTGGATAGTTTTACCAAGAATGAAAGAAGATGAAGATCATGCTTTATGAGTAAGATGATTGAGTTGCAGAGCCATCAAATGGATCATTCAATGATAGGTCTTAGTATCAACTGGTGGACAATGTAATCTTCAAAGACTGCTACAATATGTGTTTCACATGTTGTATTTTCAAGGTGATCTAGAGGAAGTGCTTTGACAAAAGTCACCATAAAATGCCTTCCTCTCAAATAATGAAATGCGGTTAACTTTTCATGGTTTACCATTTGGATTTTAGAAATTCCTGTGCCAATGGCATATGCGTGTATGGGCTTGGAGAATATATTTAATTATAATTGATCAATGGTTAAAGCAAATAGCCTCCTTTACTTTCATGCTTATAGACATTCAAGTTTTGAAGAACATATTTGTGTTTAATTTTTTTCAGCATTGGTTTTTTTTAGTCATATATAAGGACTTCTCCAAAAGTAAAGGTTTTTTTAATTTGTTTACCTATTTGGTTTTTTTTAAAATTTTCTACATCATTGTTGGGATTCCAGGACCCAAATAATATGGAATTGGTAGGAGCTACAGTATAAGCTACTTTGTGTCTCAAATATATTGCTATTTTCATCTTATTATTTTTTAAAAAATATTTCATGCCTCTGTTTTGAACCCTTCAATTTAATATGTTTATATTTATGCTTATATTCTAATGTGTGCTTGCAGGCATTCTAAGAAGATAATTAATGTTGCTAATTATTTTGCTGGGGGAGGGGAAAATACTGTTATTGTTGGTCATTACATATAGTCATTACATTTGATGAATATTCTGTAACTTTTTAAAGGTTTGACCAAATAAGAAATTCCATACACTTTCAAAATAGTCAGTGGAATATTTTAAAATTGGATTAACAAATAAACATCCATTGTTGAAAAACTACATTTTCATCAGCTTGTAAATGGGATTATGTTTATCACCGTACCAAATATTAGATAAATCTCAGTACTATTTTAGACCCTTAGTGTATCCCTTACTTACTTTTTTAATTTAATTTTTTATTTACAGACCATTTGTACACTGCCCAGAATCCACTGGAGATGGGTGGCCAATAAATTTAGCTATATAGAGAGAGTTAAAGCTATAGAGAGAGAGTTTTCTATTGCTTTTTGGAAACTAAGGATCTTTTTCAAAATATTGAAGCTTTCATGTTAATATTTTAGCAAGTTTTTCAGTGTTTCAATGATAACCTCTCAGCAGCAGAGGAAAAAAGATTTAATGGGCAGGAAATTCAGAGAAATGAATGTCTGCTTTTAATAAATATTTTCTTGTAGTTTTATTATATTTTTATCAAAATTTGTCCTGTCTGCATGGAAAAGTAGAATTAAAATGTTTGAAATGCAAAAATAGGAAAAAATAGTCTGTTTATGCATGTATAATTGTGTACGCACACATAAATACATGTACTTCAGTATATAAACATATATATTTTCCATGTAATGCAGATATTTGTAAGATAGAAATCTTTTTTTCTTTTTGCATAGAATATTCCTTCCTCAAAGTTTTCCCCAAATCTACTCTGAAGAGTTTTCCAATTATACAGGAAAAAAATTCTCTCTGTGAAGCTAGTGGTAGTGAGAGAAACTATTCTCTCCATTTTTTCTGGTTGATGGATAATGTTGAATTCCATCCATAGGCTTCCTGTATATTAATCTTTGTCAGGCATGTAAAATCAGCAGCATACATGAAGTTCCAATTAAACTGATTTATTACTACTCATTCCTATTGCATAGGAATCTCTCAACTAACAGTTAGCATTATTTTGTCATTGAGTCAACTGAATTCAAGAGGGATTTGACTTAGTCTGTTTGTTGATACATAGATATTCCTCCTTTGACTCTGCCACTCCTTTTTTTATCTTTTATGCATTTCTCTGTAATGCACACTCTTTATTACTCTATCTTCCCAAACCCTAGTCATTTAATTTTAGATCTGATCAGATATTATTCATATATAATTATAATGGCCAAACCCTGGGCTGTACATTCCCAACAGATTCTTTAGGATGGTCATTACAGTCTGAATGGCCCCAGTAAAAATAAACTTATATGTTCAGATGTGCCATTTACAAAGTATTTTTTAAGTTCTTTTTCCTCCACTGCATACGAATTTACACATAAAATAAAATACCTGGGGCTATGCATGTTCCTTATATTCTCATTAAACCTCACATTTCTTTTTATGTTTGTAAAGCTAGTAATATTAGCTCTATGGATAAGATGAGGAAGCATAATAGTTGGGCTGCATGGAAATATGAAACATGTGGATTTACCCTATGGCTGGTAAACATACTAATCCAAAATAGAAAATGGTTGTGGAGACCCCTTCACAGATCAACCCTGGTTTGTTCATTACTTTATTTTTCAATTGATGTTTAAATGAGTTAATGATAGGATATTTTAGAGTTACATTATACACTTATAAATGCTTATCAATCTGTGAAGATTGATGGAAAAGAATTTAATCTGTGCAGAAATTAACAATATATTAATTGAGAATACGAGCATGTAGCCATAAATTAACAGAAGAAGCATTTTTTCTTATGACAGCTGTGATTTTCCAGCAATAGCAATCATTGGAAATGTTTGCTGATTTTTTTAAACACTTGCTGTTTCAGACTGTTCATTGATTAATTCTTATTTATATTGTTAAAATCAGTTCCATTATATTGATATTATTGTGATAAATCAACATGATAATCTGGCTAGTTCAATTTTGAAGAGGTAAAAGGAGATAACACAGTGCCTGTTAAAAACAAAAATATGCTTAGTCTGGCTATGTAGTTGTTTTCTGAAGACTTGTAGTGCCTTTATATTGATATTTAAGAATTAGCTTGGTGCTAAAATGTTTCTATTCTTCCTGCAAAGCTCCTCCATATTAGTCATTTACGTTAATATACTACAGTTTAAATTGCATTTTTCTTTTGTTTTTAAACTTGAAAAAAAATTTCTTACAATGATATGGATTTTTGGTTGCCTATTTTTGTTTTTATCTCCCAATTGGAAACTATAGTTCCCATTTCTAACTTTCGTAATTATCTTTGGAAGTTTTTCCTCCCAGCAACATTTATGGTGTACTGTTTTTCATAGGTTCAAAGAAATAACGTATTTCTTGAAATCCCTTAAGGTGTTTCATTTTCAAGTCCACAAAGCGAAGTATTATGTGTAGAAGACATAATAGTAAGGATAAAGTGTCAACCATAGTTCATAATCTCCAAAGCTAAATATTTCCTTTCCTGATTTTATCTCATTGCTAATTTAGAAAAAAAACAGACTAATATATTGCTCTCCACTATATAAATAAAAAGCATATCAATATCAATCAATATTAATTTGATCAAGTATACCAAGATCTTGGTATTTTTATCAAGTAACTTGTTCAATGTACGCAGTTAAATAGGACAATAAGAAGAGAATAATATGTAATGTAGTGGAGTTGCAGAGATAATCTCTTGTGATGAACTTGGCTTATATTCTGAAGTGATAGTATGTACTCTATTCTTTACTATTTATAAGCTATTTAAAAGAGAAGCACTGAACAAGGTAACTAACTATTCTTGTTTACCTTTACATGTGTCATTAAAAACTTGAATGTCCTCCCCGTATTAAGTAGAGTGATAAAAATCAGTATTAAATAGAGTGATAAAAATCTGTTTGAATGCTTTACTTTTGCAAAATAAAAAGTGCCAAAATATTAAGACACTTTAAGAAATAGGTCAGAGACAATCTAGGAATCAAATTGGACATCCCTGATGGCCAGTTGGAATGCCTGGATGGAAGCCTTGTTTTTATAGGGTATCGTTAGCCATAAGAATATGTTATTCAACTTGTTTGTATAACAGAACTGTTTTGTATCATAATTTTAAATGGAAATGGAATAACGGGCATCTTCGGATATATAAGGTTAAGATTATACATTTTTTTGCAAGCCTCCTTATTATCATTACTGTTTTATTATGTGATTTTACTTGTATATCTGTATCTTTTATCTATTAATGATTTACAATTTTCATACTATTAGCTATACTGTACCTTAAAAAAATATATTATGAGAAGTTAGCAACCTCTTTATTCTGGAATTTCAGCTATTAATATTGCTATTAAGTGCTGAAGGTGTTTTTTTTTCTTATCCTTTTTTTCCCTTATATGGGAACAGTCATATAGCAAAAACCCACCAAAACCTTTTGGATCATGGTGGTTTAAACAACAACAACTAATAAATAAATGTTTCATCCATATTGATTTGAATGGTAAAGTACTAATTAAATTTGAAATGGTTTTTCAAGCCTGTCCAAAGGCTGGCTAGATATAGAGAAATGTTTTCTCAATACAGCTGTCCTAACATAAGACAAAGTTTTCAAAACAATGAAACAATGGACAGGGCAGAAAATTTATTTATTTTTAAAAATCACTATTGAAAGGCATCTTTCTTTTTCTTTATAGCCTTATTCAGTCTTACTATACATGTTTAAATGAAAATTCAGCAGTTTCCAAGGTTGTATTTGGTACTGGTGATATTTTAAAAACATTTCATTTGGGGCTGAATGTATGTTGTTGTTTTTTTAAAGATATTATTAACGTTGTCCGAGCTTGTTCTGGGCCACTATCTTGAACAAGTGAAATGGAACAAGTGAGAATCTTCTCTAATGTTTCATACATATCAATGGATTGGGCTTGTTCATTGTGGATACTATGCCATTGTACATGTTGGGAAACTAATAATTTACAACCTGTTTTTAAAGGTGTATGTATCTGGTTTGGGGTTGGGTTGTTTTTGTTTATTGTCTACTTGTTTTGGAAAATATTATATTTTATTTGCTTTTTTACTTTTTTATACTGTATCTGTATGTGCAGCTATTTCCATATTTCATAATATCTGTTAAAAGCAGAAATCTGCCATTTGGGGAAAATTATCCCTGCTTGGAAGAAATAATACTATAATAAGAAGTGATTTTCATATCACATTCTAGGTATAATATCATGGTTAAAACAATATGTTTGTGCAAATAGTTGCAAGATTTAAACCACCATTTTTATTTGATATTAATTTCTGTATTGTTGTAGCCTCTGATTAAGAATTAAAGCAAGTCTGAGCTTTATCAAATAGGATGAATCATTTTCTTTAAAAAAAAACTTTTAAGGTTTTTCTTATGGATGTTTTTCTTATAAATGTTTTAATTGATCCTGTTTTAGTTTTGTATTTGGTTTTTGTCCCAACTTTGTGAGAAGTTGAACTTCAGAATTATTTTTACACTATTTATGACTTATTTTCATAATGTAAAAAGTGTGTAATTATTAAACTCTTAATCTTATCTCTGATATTGGTTTTCCATGTAGTAAACATTATTTGCTTGCCTTTAGTTGTATAAATATGCAAAACTAAAAAAAAGACTTCCTGAACTATATTTCTTTGGTAGTCTCCTATGAAATGTATTAATCTGGAATGTTTTTGACTTAAAAGCAATTATGTTTCAAAATTCTCTTGCATAGACCTTACTGTTTTGCCACTTTCAGTATGCAATGTAAAGAATTATTTGCACTGGATAATGAAGACATAATTCATATATTATTGGGATGATATTATAAAAGGGCAAATTCACAATGCTTTTAATCACTCAGCTCCATTGTGAGGTAATCTCAGGAGAAATAATGACTAAGAGAATGTCCTACAAAGTCCTACTAGAATTGGGCCAAATCTAATAGTTGGAAGACAATCCATGCATGTTCCAAGAAATTCTTAGCAGATGTCAAATGTACTTCTGATATATAAGTAGCTTCCTCTGACTCCAGGAAATATTAATTCATACATTACTGAGGTGTTGCACAAATTATAAAAAATAGCAGTGTCCTCTTTTCATGCAAATAAAACCACATTTCTGACATTTTACAAGATAATAGGAAATGCTATCTTTTTAATGTATTCAGTGTTCAATATACAGCTCAATATTTCCATAATAATTCTCCACAATAAAGTTCTTTCTTTTTCCCCAATCAGGGCAAATAAGCAATTCATAACATTTCACATGAAGTCTT